AAATTTGAGGAAGTGAATAAAATCAAGTAAACCTAAACTGTATGACAAGCAGAATCAATAAAATATAGGGTGTGTTCTAGTGTTAAGTTTCACAGACATAAGTGAGTGAGTGAGTGAGTGAGTTGGGTTTAACGCCGCTTTTAACATTTTTCCAGTTATATCACGGTGTGTCAGCTTAATGTGGGAGGAAAACCCGAAGTGATGCAGGTCTAAGACGTTTACCACTTCGGTGAAACCCACGAGCACGGGTATGGTGCTGACAAACCTAGAAACATAATTGGGGCGAACCGGGATTCGAACCCACAATCATAGGTTTCTGGCGTGCCTAAGGGACGCAACTCTGCACAGCGAATCGCGGCGTCATAGACGACTGGGCCACCAGTGCCCCTTCACAGACATAAACGTTCTTATACTTGGCATTAACATTTCTGTCTTATGATGCTCTACTGTTTTAAGAGCACAGTTCGCTCAGGGCTTCCAACATTTACTGTGAACGATCTATTTGTCTTGTAACACCCGAGGACACATTATTTTATTCACCTCAACTCTTGCTTTTTTGTGGCGGGCATAAGGACGTGTAGGTCAGAGTACCCAAAAGTTGCGATTGTACTACTAATGAGGTTCAGGTAAACGTTATCTCTATACTGATAACACTCGACTCGTTATTGGCAGAGATTTCTTATGGATATAGAAAGGATTTTATCGCTTTTATTTATGTGTCTAGACTAATGCGCAAGTAATATAGTACCAACCATTTACTATATAAGAAATCGGTCCTCAGTAACTAAACTTGTAAGAAATGACTAAATGGCACAAACTTCTAACCTTTTAATTTCATGATGCAGTTATTGTTGGAAAACAGAAGCCAAGAGTGCAGCTGAAACTTGATATTTTACTGTTGACGTCCAAATATGAGGGGTATTTAAATAAAGGCGACAAAACCCTTCCAATAATCATAAGAAATCTCGACTGAAAGCAGGGTTCATTTGCATAACATTTTTTCACTTTGATTTATCATTTTCAAATATTAATTAATCAAATTTTAACAAAGAATTGTTCTATAATATTTCGTTTGACAAATGCTTCAAAATACCAAATATTATTGATAACTTTCTTAAAACGAAATGAAAATGTAAAGTAATAGAAAGGCGATGTTACATTCTGAGAAGGATGAAAGCCATGGCAATGAGTGAAAACAGCTGGTGTAAATAAAAGCGACAAGAAACATTTTAAATCATAAGAAATCTTTACCAAAAGCAGAGTCCATTATAGTCTGCTATGTCATAAGCACGTGTCTGGGAATTACTATCAAATAGTAATGCCACCAGGTGAGCGTATTCTGCCCCACTGGTTAACATCCGTCACAAAAGGGTCGTGAGACCCGGCTCACCCATTCACTCAGCTTGAAAATTCAAAACAATAGCTATGGTCTGAAATGTTCCAACATCACCATACGTGTAAAATTAATTAGTTTAATGACAGTTGAAAATTTGACTCAAGGCTTACCTCCCCTTCAAAATGTATTCTGCATTCTAATGTAACAATTATTGGGACTTTTCAGTCCAAATTACATTGACGGGCTCAAATTAGGCTGCTGCGTTATCCCCAAACGTGGAAGATTAATATCTGTTTTACCACAAGTATATAAATATCTATAATATACATGTACCGCCAGTGTTCATTGATGTCTTACATAAGGTCTTACGAAATTCTGTTTCGTGATAACGTCAGAATCAAACAATGGACTTTTAGAAGAGATTTCTTAAGATTATGGAAATGCTTTTTGTCGATTTTATTTCGTAAAAAATGACATGTTTGAAGATAGTAATACTTTATATCTATTTATTACATATAATCATACTCCAATGGTATTACCGTTCTTCCAATATGGCAAACAGAGAACCTCACCCGATTGGCTTTTGATATCAAATATATCAGCACGAGTTGAATAAAGTGGAAAAACTCAGAGGCTTGCCGAGGAGTTTTTCCACTTTGATCAACGAGTGTTGATATGTTTGATATTAAAAGACACGAGGGTGAGATTTTATTTATCATCCAACATCATTCTTCAAACTTTTTCAGTTTGTAGACAGTAATAAGCAGTGTAAAAAGTGCTGCTAAGAGCTTCAGTAGCAGAGCCATTAGTGATGTCATTTGATTGAGACGTCATGGCTACAATGACATCACTATGGTCTCCAAAGCATTGTGATGAAATTTCATTGAAGCGATATCTACATTGTAGATATGAATCGCTTGATCCCACCCAAGCGATATCTCCTGTGGGAAACAGCTTTGGATGATAAATTATAATCTAAGATAAATATACAATGTTATCAAAGTTTCAATATTCATCATAAACAATAATGATAATATCGTTTATATACAACAAATACGTTAATAAATGCTACAAACATGAAACGGGAGGCTGTGCTTCGTTTTGTTCATGGGATTAGCTTCAGGTCTTTCATGTACAACACTATAGACTATACAATAAAATCAAATATAGGATGAAACACGCTTATGGACTTTGAAATAGAATGACTTAACTGACTAACTATTTATACAATTACGGTATCTAACTCACGTCATCCCCAATATTTTAATAAATTCTCGCCTACATATATACCTCTCTCTCTCTTAAACGTAATTGTCCGTACTTTAGAAAATAGTTGTTAGATTATTTACATATTAAAATAGGGGGTCGGTGGTCCCGGGACAATAAGGCTGGTTAGGCTTATCGGCGGCTCCACTAAAGTCGAATATGAATAATGATTACAGCAATACTGACTGGGATGCAATGAAAGGGAAAATATGAAACACTCATCTCAGCTGAATAGTGAGTGAGTGATTTGGGTTTAACGCCGCTTTTAACAGTATTCCAGTTATCTCGCGGCGTGTCAGCTAACGTGGGAGGAAAGCCCGAAGTGATGCAGGTCTCAGACATTTACCACTTCGGTGAAACCCACGAACAAGGGCATGGTGCTGACAAACCAAGAAACATAATCGGGGCGAACCAGGATTTGAAACCACAATCATAGTTTCTGGCGTGCCCAAGGGACGCAACTCTGCACAGCGAATCGCTGCGCCTTAGACGACTGGGCCACCCGCTCCCCCCAGATTGGACCCGCTGTTACTGTCATGAGATAACTGTTTCCTTCTGTTTGGGACAATTCCTAGCTTGACCTTCGCTGATGACCGCTATGTCCCTTACTTCTGTAGAGCCAAGATCAAGGCCACTTCTTTAAACAACTACAAGGATGAGCAAGGTTACCGTCAGCGTCCAAAGTGGACAGCTGGTTCATGGCAAGACCCGTACTACTTCAAGGAATGACATTGGGCATATCAGTTATATAACGTTATTTGTGATGTTCCCTTTGTAACACTTGTTTCTTGCTTGCTTGTTTGTTGTTTACCGCCGCACTCAGCAATATTCCAGCTATATGACGGCGATCTGTAAATATAATCGAGTCTGGACCAGACAATCCAGTGATTGACATCATGAGCATCGATCCTTTTGTAACACAAACGTGATTAAGTTTTGAAAGATTAGATCTTTTTCGTAAACATGGAAACGAACAAAGTATGCACAAATATCTTCTTGATTTCATTCATGCTGTGAAATATTATGTTTAGATTGTTTGTTATTTTACTCCGCATTCAACAATATTCACAGGGGCCTGAAAACAACGGAATCCACAAATCAGTACTGGATAACATGAAGAAGTCCCTTGTCGTAGGTTTAGCCTGACTACCCATTTTCTTTATGGGAATTTATTCCAATCCCGAATCACAACCGGATGTTGCATTGTCAGTTATGACAACATTTGGAATAAGCTCTTGGTAAAGATTGTTAACTTGATCCCTCACTCACAGTGAGGTGGGCACGGATGGATTGTCGTTCAAGACGTAGCTGTGGAGAGTACCGTCGTTTAGTCGTGCATGGAACCGGCGAGCCTAGTTCAAATACCACTAAATTGAAATAATGTGTAAAGTTTACCAACTTAGTGTGTGAATTTCAATGTCCACTCAGACATTTTAGTGAGCTCTCTAATCAGTTAAAAGAATTCCTAGGTGGCCTATCGTCACTAACTTGAAAAGATTAACTGGTAATCAGATATTATTTCATTGTCATATGTGCGAAATACTAATTGGCATACAGCAACAACACATTTATGAACATTTCTTTCTGTGGGATTCGATCCTACAACCTCTTGATTCTAGTCCGTCACGCATCCACCAGGGCTAACAGAGACTGTGGTCGTCACAACTGTCAATTTTTGAAGTCACCATTAGCAAGATTTATTTGTACTTGTTTATGTTAATATTGTACCAAGCTCGGTGTAAGTCCCGGTGATATATGTGATGCAATTGTCTGTAAATCTGATTTAGGTGGTGTTTAGGCTATGAAGCTACAGTTCATTTGTTGTGCTTAGACCCTTAACGTGTTCAGACATCATATGTGCATACCTTCTGGATTGAAACACATTCCTGAACGTGTCTTGTATGTGTTTACATTCTTAACACGTTTTTACAGCGTGCTTTAAGAAGTGCATTATACGAACTTAATAAGGACTATTTACTAATCTACATAATTTTCGTGCAATCTACCAGGCAGGATAGTAAATCCGTCGTTTACTAACCTTCTGGACGCTGTGACTAATTAAGTTCGCAGAATTCACAAGACTATTTTTTCAGTGCACACACTTAAACACAGACACACACGTACACACACACGTACACACACACGCACGCACGCACGCACGCACGCACGCACGCACGCACACACACACACACACACACACGGTCACACCTGGAGACTTACAATAACCGCATGCAGGTAGCTGTATAATCTTGAACGCTACGTTAAACCCATCTCACCTAATTGCCATTTTGGACAGCAAGGCTTGACGTTAGTTCTTATTGACCAAGACTACCATTACCACGATTTCAGGAATATACTTAGTAACATCGTCCGACGTACGCAAATAAGAAAGTCACAGTTTTTCACATTTGACATTTATTCCGCTCTAAAAGTGTCAGATAGATAATGACAAAGACTGCTGAGTCCTTCCTCCTGATCACCATGAGCTTGGAGGACCAGCTGCCTTCAGGAGAGGGGTGTCATACTTGTAGCCCTTCCTGTAGTAGGGTCGTTTGGGGTAATACCTCAGTGGTTTATTGTTACGTCTCGGTTTCCTGTCCTTACAGTTAGGATCAATAGGATTGATATTGTCCTGAAGAAATTCGTTTAACCTGTCGTATTTTGGCGGCCATTTTCCACAATCTGGATCCGTCCTGTAGGTTGGAGTCTCTGCTGCAGCAACTGCAACACTCAGAATCACGACGACAACGATAGCTCGCAGATGCATGATCCTGGAAATATATCACAATAACACTTACAAATAATTTTTCCATTTCCTTAAGGTCTTTGTTACTGACTAGGACAGGAGTCTGGGTTTTTGTTGCTTTTATTACCATTATCTCAAATGTCAAATGTCTCAAATATAATGTATCCGTGATTCTGCTGAGCAGCTTGTGAAACCTTGCTATTTGCTTTAACCAACTGATCATTAAACGTTTTATTTAATTATTTACTTGGCATAGGCAAGTCCATTGTTTTCAAGACAAATATACACTCGCATTGGTATTCCAAAAGGAAATACCTCAAATGTGACTTCTTGAAGTTACATGTTTATCGACAGTTGTCATAGAAATTATAATATCCTTTCGTGAATTTTAATGAAATATATACCCAAAAACTGTACCACTGTCCATATTATATCGGCATGCATGCACACAACTGTGAGTAAACATGACCTACAAGCTTCCTTTGCATATGGTTTGAAACATGTCTTGTATTCGCAGAATATGAAATAAAAGTGACAAAACCCTTTCTATATTCATAAGATATCTCTTCAATAAGCAAATTTCCGTGAAGGTATTCATCAACGAATAAGTCAACTGGAAGCATTACATAACATCAAGGCAAAATAAAACTATTAGATAAAATAATGTTTTCTAAAAGATTTATTTCAAACGCTGAAATGGACTTACCTCGGTTTCAAACAGGCACGTTGTCTGGGTAAAAGGGATGATCTGCGATAGTGTGCCTTCAAAATAGTTGACTTGGATTCATACTAAAGACGAGGTTATAACAAGAAGAGATAGGGATCTGGGGCCCCTGGGGCATAGCTCTTTGTGACTCATCATCATATCGTTCAAACTAGGATAATGATGATATTTATTGTGCAACTTACCCGCACTTACTAATCTCTCTGTATACTTTATCTGTATTGCTATCAATTGTCACTAATTGTCCGAGAACCTTCTTTGGGGGTGTTGATTTATCGGCTTTTGAGTTTGTGAGTAACGTCTCATCGACCAAACAGCCAACCATTTCTCGACGGGGCAAGCATATGTATACAGCAACAGAAGTGAAAAAGTAACAAAACACGGTTCATAAATTATCAACAACCAGAGCTAAACCACTAGAGGGTAGTATTGTTGTAAATTCTAGAGGTGTATCGATTGATTGAATCATCCGCGCAGCGACATGTCCTTGACCTGATGTCAATACATCGACGTAAAGTAACCATTGATGTAATAACGCAGTCGTATTAACATGAACACGTATTGCCGACTAGTATAGTTCCCATTCTTTTTTATCCAAAAGACACCAGGAAAATGAAATTGTTGGTGGTTCCTGAAATTTGAAACATTGTGGCACATTTTGGAAAACTTAATTTCGTTTTAATCATTTTGGCACATTTTGACAAAGTGAATTTTGTCTGATAATGTTACTTAAATTTAGATATCAAGACTCTTGTTTACAAATTTAAAATTCAAGAACATGCGGTCTGTTTCTGGTTTGGTTAAACGTTTAAAAAGCAATATCAAGAATTATACTCTTTAGTGGATATCGTGGGCTCTTACTGTTTGTAGACTCACCCAAAAGCAAAAGTTCTTGGAGTCGTTTAATTTCCTTCAGTGACACGGAGTGTAGTCTTGTTCTTACTTTGTGCAATCACAATGGTTCCTGTAGGAGAGGGAACAAATGGTATCTTTTGGCCTTCGTCCTCTAAACTTCTTGTGACTATGGCTGCGTTGGCGTCTTTAGAATGGCGGAAACAGACTCAATATCATAAACGTTGGCAGTTCGTTGATTAGAAAGTTTGCCATCGTCTTGTATTTTGTCATTACATGCTTATGGCATTGCTGTGCGTAACAGAAAAAGCCAATGATTTTCTCTGGACATTCTATAAGGTCGACTGCATTTAAGGCTGATATCCTTACTTTCATGCAAAGGATGGGTTGATCTTCAGAATTGAAATGTTGGTGGAAACATGTCTGTTGATGTCCGATCTGTGCTGGCTAACTCGTGTAGTGTCTTTCTGACATATATCAATCCACAATGGGTACATTTAATGCCATGACGTTTTTAGTTTAACATGACATGTCTTCAAAAGGTTTTGTGCAGTAAGTTCTAGCTGTACAATTTGATTTGAATTCAGGATCTGTAATCAAAACAGGAAGGGTTTTGCAAGTTTTTGTGCCACATGAAGAAACACGGCGTGGAGATGGGTCGAAAAAATGTCCTCCAACTTCACTGAACATTTTGCAATGATGCTTGTAAATTAATTTTCGTTTATGAAATAGAAGTTGCCTTTTACATAGGTCGATTTTCATGACACACTTACAGTCATAATTGAACGTAGATTCTACTAAAGCTTGATTATGCCCCTTAGCTAAAATTAACTTTAGCTTAATATTCTTATGATATAGTTGATAGAATTCAATGGACTCACCTTTCAGCAGAGATTTTTTAGAGTTACAGAAAGGATTTTGTCGTTTTTATTAACAACATATTTAATGTTTCATACAGTCCTTTATCACATCTAGTATTTCTCAGCATTATTTCTGTGGCATTTAAAACCTATATGGTTAAACGCTATTCTGTTAATTATGATTATTTGAGTCATGTTGATTCTAAAATCTCAATCATCAGAATGGGATCTGTTTTGGTTACAGAATCAGACACTATCAAGTATAATTACTCTTACGTATTCTGACCTAAATAATGTCAAAGTGTATTGTTGAAACACATGGGTACACAGACTCAAATCAGTATCACAAGTTGAAACCTTTTATAGTTATTGGCAGATATTTCAATGGATAATCACATTCTCAGGGCTACACAAACGCTTTCATCTCAAAAACAATAACCACAAGCGCAACGTAAAATAGGAGCCTAATCGGAAACTAAACCGTAAAATACCCTGTGGCCACTTCTGACGGGGCATGTGGTGATGTTCGCGCTTGAAGAAACAAACGTTATTTAGAATCCTGGTTACCATGCTATATTTAAACATCTAACAAGTCACAGTCATTGATCCTATTCTTCTTGTACCAAGCGTGCAGACCAAGCGCACAGTAAGTAGATCTAGTTCGTACATACTCACTGAGAGGGCCTTTCTTAACCATCTGGGAAAATTGAGTTGCACCTTAGCGTACTCGCCGGTGTATATAAATAACAGTGGTCACATTTTAAGGTTTCCAAAAAGGATTATTTGTCTAAAATGAGTGGTTCATGGTCTGAAGGTCAGGTATCCATTTACCACGGAGGATATCAAAGGTATATTAGTTACGAATTTGTGAAATCATGCATGATTCCTCGACCATGTATTCTTAAATTGTGTTAAATAAAATGATCTAATTGGTTTTAAATGTCCCAGGAGTGTACCATACAAAACTCTGCTTTGTTGATAACTATTATCAATGCATTTACCAGTGTTCAAATCATGACCATCAAACAATTATTACAGTAAATTGGCATTCTTTACAACATTATTTCTGAAAAAAATATAAAGTGGATTGTCACAAGACGACAAACAAAAGATTACCGAGGACTAAATGATTAAAGAACCAATGGACAGGAGGGCAGAATCTTTAGTAACATCTTTCAACGTTTGAGCAAATTGTTGTCAATGATGTGTCCATCACATTCTCAGAAGATGATGAGCTCGAGGTTGCTGATCCTGGCTGTGGCCGTCACCTGCGTAGCGCTGACAAACGCAGACGCCTCGATGGATGATGGTTACTATGCTGTTGGAGAGAGAGCCCTAGAAGACAGATACCCAAGAGAATACTACCCAAGCAACTCAAGGGATTCCGCAGATGATTACAAATATCAATATCAAGAACGACCATACGATCAGAATGATCTTCAGATGGAGTTCGATGGAAATCTGAAAATCTTTGGAAATGGCGCCAACCGAGGACCTTTAGGCCAGACAAGCAGGCTGTATAATGTCCTTACTGGCTACGAGGGCTCAGAAGATGGCTATTAGCATGACGCGTATCACTTTGGAGGTAAACAATATGTTATGTATACTCCCGTATACCAGATTCAGACCCGTGACGATCCGGGGTAGAATAGGTCTTCAGCAACCCATGCTTGCCGTAAAAGGCGACTATGCTTGTCGCAAGAGGCGACTAACGGGATCGGGTGGTCAGGCACGCTGACTTGGTTGATGCATGTCATCGATCCCAATTACGCGGATCGATGCTCATGATGTCAATCACTGGATTGTCTGGTCCAGACTCAATTATTTACAGACCGCCGTCATAAAGCTGGCATGTTGCTGAATGCGGCGTTTAACAACAAACCAACCAACCAACCAAGACTCAAACTGTGATAATTTTATTCGCACTTTTGTGTCACTTGAATGTCTGGTCCATCACTTGATTATCTTGTCAAGACTTGTCAAGTTTTACAGGCCGCCATCGTGTGGCAGGAGTGAGTGAGTGAGTTGGGTTTAACGCCGATTTTAACATTATTCCAGTTATATCACGGCGTGTCAGCTTAATGTGGGAGGAAAGCCCGAAGTGATGCAGGTCTCAGACGTTTACCACTTCGGTGAAATCCACGAGCACGGGTATGGTGCTGACAAACCTAGAAACATATTCGGGGCGAACCGGGATTCGAACTCACAATCATAGGTTTCTGGCGTGCCCAAGGGACGCAACTCTGCATAGCGAATCGCGGCGCCTTAGACGACTGGGCCACCCGTGCCCCCTCGTGTGGCAGGAGTAACAAATACTAACCTCTTTATACAAATTGAGTGAGCGGCGTGTGCTAGTCTCAGGACATGCTTACGCTTTCACGGACACCTGGTGTCATCATTGATTTTCGATGATCCACTCATACAATTTTTATCACTGTTCTTTACCCTTTTGCTTACACTTTTTAGACTCAAGCTCAAACATCAGTTTATTTGGCTATTCAAAATTATTTTAAGATGGTATGTGTATCAATTAATGATTGATCGAACTGCAGTTTCACACATGGCGAGCATGGGTTGCTGAAGACCTATTCTAGCCCGGATCTTCACGGGTCTCCCGATGTTTGGGAAAAGGTTGACGTAATATTTCTGTGGCAATAACTTGAAATAATTTATTGATATTTCATTCCGTATTCTATATATCATTTCATTATACACAAATGAATTTACCCGATCATAACAAGGACACTTCTCTACAGAAAAAAGGTAATCAGGGCATATAGGTGTAGCATAAATAGTATTTTTGATTTCCATGTTATGTGGGCATCACACAGTATTAAATTCGTTGTTATTTGCCAATACTGATTGGAATCTTTGACTTTGATCGGACATTACGGAAGGGTGCTTTGATAGTGGTATGAGGACATATAATATATGCATACCGTATGGTTTTTTTCAGAGGCATCTGATACCTGATACCCGATATCCTTTCATCTGATGACCACTGCTTGTAACGGGACAATGGGAATATATGATTTTGTATCCGTCATGCTTTCGTTGTTGTTCTTGTCAACAAAAAATAAACACAGATCTGGTGATATAAGTGTATGATGAGGTATGTGATATGAAATGCAAGGTACACGTAACTGTGATTATTTGACTTTTATTATATACTACTTTTGACAGTATGGACAATGAATTGATTGAAAAGTCCAACTGTGTATACAGCAAACCCCATGTAAAGACAGAAGTTTCATAGTACAGTAAACTACGGTTATAACGAACACGGTTATAACGAATTAACGGATATAACGAACAAACTTTTTAGTCCCGACTATATGCTGTAGTTATGCTGTATATATGCTTATAACGAATTACGGTTATAACCATCTAAAATTAGTAGTCCTTTTGAGTTCGTTATAACCGTAGTTTACTGTAGTGTAGTTTCATACACACATAAACACAATTTCTAAAAGGTTGGTACTTTTTGACAGTTATCTGTGCCTTAGTTACACACATGAAACCACTTTCTAAATGTCGGTACTATGTCACAGTTACTTGTGCGTTGATCTACACACATAAATACAAGTGACAAAACCCTTTCCATATCCATCAGAAGTCTCTGCCAATAACAGAGTCGAGTGTGCGATTCCGACTGTATCATGAGTGAGTGAGTGAGTATGGTTTTACGCCGCTTTTAGCAATATTCCAGCAATATCACGGCGGGGGACACCAGAAATGGGCTTCACACATTGTACCCATGTCGGGAATCGAACCCGGGTCTTCGGCGTGACGAGCGAACGCTTTAACCACTAGGCTACCCGACCGCCCCGACTGTATCATGAGTACGTGTTAATGAAGCACTTACAATCTGCGAACAGGTGAGAGTATATTTCCCCACCGGTGGCATCAGTCATCAAGACACGCAAAGGCAAATCAATTGTCCACCTGAAAAAGAACTGGGGACATATGGTACAAGTCAAAATAGGAAATTGCATTAGACATCATTCTTATCACTGAATTCTTCAAGATGTCTCAACCGTAAAACGTTTTGAAAGCTAAAAACCCTTTCTTAATGGGTGGTAATACATCATAGTTACTTTTACTTTGGTCTACACATATAGAATCACTTTCTAAATGGACGGTGCGACACCCTAGTTATATGACAGTTACTTGTGCCTTGATCTACACACATAAATAAAAGCGACAAAACCCTTTCCATATTCACATGAAATATCTGCCGAAAACAGATATGATTGTACGTTCCCGATGATATCATGAGTAAGCATGTATTTATTAATCATCATCAAATAGTGATGATACCAGGTGTTCGCGAAAAGGTGAGCGCATCCCGACCCACCGGTGGCACCCGTCACAAACACATGCAAATGCAAGTCAACTGTTCATCTGAAAATACATATAGGGACTTATATTGGACATCATTTTTATCAATGATGCGTCACATTTGGAAATGTCTACCATACAACTTTTGGAAATCATTACTAAGGCCTCGAATGTTGCAACTTTGATCAAACAACTTCTCAGCAACTGTTGTATGACGCTTTTTGATATCTTGGTAGAATGAGTTTTACAAATGGTTGGTACAAAATCACTGTTACTTGCGCGTTGTTCTCCACACATAAAACGCTTTCTAAATTGCCGGTACTCTATGACTGTTACTTGTGTCTTTGTATGCACACATATAAACACTTTCTAAATGAATGGCACCATATCACAGTTACTTGTGCGTTGGTCTACACACATATAAACACTTCCTCCGTGGCTGGCACTTTATTAACCTATCGTCAGAAACTCTGGCCTTCTAAGTGATCCATAACAATAAAAGATAACAAACATGTTCATTAAAGTTTATTAACACGAATATTTACGCGTCCATATCAACAAAAACAACTCTGCGCGGGTGCTCCATACACCGTCACTGTCAGTGACTTGCCAGACACTGTGGTATAGCGGTGTCCGGGTGCACCGTTGAATGAATCTGTCAGTGACTGTGGCATAGCGGTGTTAGTGTGCTCTGGGAGAGAAGCTGTCAGTGACTTGCCAGACCCTGTGGTATAGCGGTGTCAGGGTGCATCGTGGAATGAAGTTATCAGTGACTGTGGTATAGCGGTGTTAGTGTGCTCTGGGAGTGAAGCTGTCAGTGACTTGCCAGACACTGTGGTATAGCGGTGTCAGGGTGCATCGTGGAATGAAGCTGTCAGTGACTTGCCAGACAGTGTGGTATAGCGGTGTCAGAGTGCATCGTGGAATGAAGCTGTCAGTGACTTGCCAGACACTGTGGTATAGCGGTGTCAGGGTGCATCGTGGAATGAAGCTGTCAGTGACTTGCTAGACACTGTGGTATAGCGGTATCAGGGTGCACCGTGGAATGAATATGTCAGTGACTTGCCAGACACTGTGGTATAGCGGTGTCAGGGTGCCCCGTGGAATGAGGCTGTCAGTGACTTGCAAGACACTGTGGTGTAGCGGTGACAGGGTGCACCGTGGAATGAAGCTGTCAGTGACTTGCCAGACACTGTGGTGTAGCGCTGTTAGTGTGCACCGTGGAATGAAGCTGTCAGTGACTTGCCAGACACTGTGGTGTAGCGGTGTTAGTGTGCACCGTGGAATGAAGCTGTCAGTGACTTGCCAGACACTGTGGTGTAGCGCTGTTAGTGTGCACCGTGGAATGAAGCTGTCAGTGACTTGCCAGACACTGTGGTGTAGCGGTGTTAGTGTGCACCGTGGAATGAAGCTGTCAGTGACTTGCCAGACACTGTGGTATAGCGGTGTTAGTGTGCATCGTAGAATGAAGCTGTCAGTGACTTGCCAGACACTGTGGTATAGCGGTGTTAGTGTGCATCGTGGAATGAAGCTGTCAGTGACTTGCCAGACACTGTGGTATAGCGGTGTCAGGGTGCATCGTGGAATGAATCTGTCAGTGACTTGCCAGACACTGTGGTATAGCGGTGTCAGGGTGCACCGTGGAATGTAGTTGTCAATGACTTGCCAGACACTGTGGTATAGCGGTGCCAGGGTGCCCCGTGGAATGAATCTGTCAGTGACTTGCCAGACACTGTGGTATAGCGGTGTCAGGGTGCATCGTGGAATGAATCTGTCAGTGACTTGCCAGACACTGTGGTATAGCGGTGTCAGCGTGCATCGTGGAATGAATCTGTCAGTGACTTGCCAGACACTGTGGTATAGCGGTGTCAGGGTGCATCGTGGAATGAATCTGTCAGTGACTTGCCAGACACTGTGGTATAGCGGTGTCAGGGTGCCCTGTGGAATGAAGCTGTCAGTGACTTGCCAGACACTGTGGTATAGCGGTGCCAGGGTGCCCCGTGGAGTGAAGCTGTCAGTGACTTCCCAGACACTGTGGTAAGCGATGTCAGGGTGCCCCTTGGAATGAAGCTGTCAGTGACTTGCCAGACACTGTGGTATAGCGGTGCCAGGGTGCCCCGTGGAGTGAAGCTGTCAGTGACTTCCCAGACACTGTGGTATAGCGATGTCAGGGTGCCCCGTGGAATGAAGCTGTCAGTGACTTGCCAGACACTGTGTTTCATCAGTATCAGGGTACATCGTTGACCGTTGCCATGAGTGACTTGCGAACCACCGTGTAACTTCGGTATCTGAGTGCACGACGGAACGTAACTGTCAGTGATTTGCCAGACACTCTGGTACACCGGCATCAGAGTAGAACGTTGTCATGAGTGACGTGTCAAACACTATGTTACTTCGGTATCAGGGTACACGACGGAACGTTGCCGTGAGTGACGTGTCAAACACTATGTTACTTCGGTATCAGGGTACACGACGTAACGTTGCCACGAGTGACGTGTCAGACACCATGTTACTTCGGTATCAGGGTACACGACGGAACGTTGCCATGAGCGACGTGCCAGACACTATGTTACTTCTGTATCAGGGTACACGATGGAACGTTGCCATGAGTGACGTGTCAGACACCATGTTACTTCTGTATCAGGGTACACGACGGAACGTTGCCATGAGCGACGTGCCAGACACTATGTTACTTCTGTATCAGGGTACACGACGGAATGTTGCCATGAGCGACGTGCCAGACACTATGTTACTTCTGTATCAGGGTACACGATGGAACGTTGCCATGAGTGACGTGCCAGACACCATGTTACTTCTGTATCAGGGTACACGACGGAACGTTGCCATGAGCGACGTGCCAGACACTATGTTACTTCTGTATCAGGGTACACGACGGAACGTTGCCATGAGCGACGTGCCAGACACTATGTTACTTCTGTATCAGGGTACACGACGGAATGTTGCCATGAGCGACGTGCCAGACACTATGTTACTTCTGTATCAGGGTACACGACGGAACGTTGCAATGCGCGACGTGCCAGACACTATGTTACTTCTGTATCAGGGTACACGACGGAACGTTACCATGAGCGACGTGCCAGACACTATGTTACTTCTGTATCAGGGTACACGAGGGAACGTTACCATGAGCGACGTGCCAGACACTATGTTACTTCTGTATCAGGGTACACGACGGAACGTTGCCATGAGCGACGTGTCAGACACTATGTTACTTCTGTATCAGGGTACACGAGGGAACGTTGCCATGAGCGACGTGTCAGACACTATGTTACTTCTGTATCAGGGTACACGACGGAACGTTGCCATGAGCGACATGTCAGACACTATGTTACTTCTGTATCAGGGCACACGATGGAACGTTGCTATCAGTGACCTGTCAGACACTATGTTACTTCTGTATCAGGGCACACGATGGAACGTTGCTATCAGTGACCTGACGACTCAGACACTGTGTTACGTTGTGTAGAAATGTAATCAGAGGACACACGTCCGCTAGGTTTTTACTTTAGGAAAAAAACGACAAAATATATAACGTCAACGCCAGAGAATAACCAGTCTCGATTATTGGACAAAACAGTTTCCTTCCATATTCATAAGTTATTTCACGATTCCAACTATACCATGAGTATGTTTATGAATCATTGCTAGATAGTGTTGATACCAGGTTTTCGCGAAAAGATGAGCGTTTCCTGCCCCATCGGTGGCACCAACTAATCGTTCACCTAAAAATCACGGGAACATATGGTACAGGTCAAAATAGGGAATAGCATCAGGTCATTCTGGTCACTGATGCGTCAAATTTGGAAATGCCCTCAACACGTGTCAACAAAACTTTTTGAAAGCTAGAAACACTTTCTAAATGGATGGTAATATATCATAGCTACTAGTGCCTTGGTCAACACACATATAAACGCTTTCTAAATGGATGGTAATATATCATAGCTACTAGTGCCTTGGTCAACACACATATAAACACTTTCTAAATGGATGGTAATATATCATAGCTACTAGCGCCTTGGTCAACACACATATAAACGCTTTCTAAATGGATGGTAATATATCATAGCTACTAGTGCCTTGGTCAACACACATATAAACGCTTTCTAAATGGATGGTAATATATCATAGCTACTAGTGCCTTGGTCAACACACATATAAACACTTTCTAAATGGATGGTAATATATCATAGCTACTAGTGCCTTGGTCAACACACATATAAACACTTTCTAAATGGATGGTAATATATCATAGCTACTAGTGCCTTGGTCAACACACATATAAACACTTTCTAAATGGATGGTAATATATCATAGCTACTAGCGCCTTGGTCAACACACATATAGACGCTTTCTAAACGGTTGGTACTATACGACATTTACTTGTGCCTTAGATACAACCATAAAGCCAGTTTCTAAATGGTTGGTACTATATCACAGTTATTTGAAAACAAATAAATAAAAGCGACAAAATCCTTTCAATATTCGATTGTACGATTGTACGATTCCTACTGTATCATGAGCATGTGTTTATGAATTACTATCAAACAGTAATGATACCGGGTGTTCGCGAAAGGGTGAGCGTATCCTTCCGCACCGGTCACACAGTCACAAACACATGCAAAGACAAGTCAATTGTTCACCTGAAAAAGAACCGGGAACATATTGTCTGCTCAGTAATCTTCAGATACCATTTGCTTCCATTTTAGACAAATGTTACATGCGCATTTGTAATAGAATTTGTGAAATGGTTCAAACACCAGTTTTTGAATAAATATTTCACATTGACTTGCACGACTGTCTGAGCGGAGTCGCTTGTTGTGTGTTCGAATCCCAGGTTCTTTGTCTATTAGTACCTTGCCTGTACTCTTTTGTTTCACTATCCCCGATATTTCGTGTATTATTTCATAAATACCATCGACCTATTCTCAACTATAGCTTCAAATAGGAAGTCACGTATAGCTCCCGTTTTCATCAGTCTCTAATGTTCCCAAGCTCGTGAGAGCAGTTTATTTCACGGCTTTTTATGGTGTCAAAATTAAATTCAGAACGAAACTATTGTAGCGGATAGGTCCGGGGTATTTATCATGATAGAATTAATACACGGGGTATAGGTGAGGTGAGGTGAAATTTGGTTTAACGTCGCGTCCAAGATTATTGCACTTATATAGCGACGTGCATGCACGTGTGTGTGTGTGGCTGCTTGTACTAGTCCGGACTGATGCCGATTTATAGTGCTAGCTCACTGAGATATCATGCCGCAGTTTTAACATGGATACCCCACTCAGACACAGTATAATGACTCCGAGCCGACCAGTCCTTGTTTTAGCCCCTTAATGCCGAGCGCCAGACAGGGTAACAACAAGTACCATATTTTAACGTCTTTTGGTATGACGCGGCCGGGGATCGAACCCCGGACCTTCCGCTCTCCGGGCGGACGCTCTACCACTAGACCACGGAGGCGGTCCACGGGGTATAGAAGCTTGGGAGTAAACTCCTCCAAGTGTGACAGCAATAAAGCAGGGAAGCCTTGGGGCAATTATTTTTCATTTTTTATTGATTGCTTTTAAACATGATTGTTAAATTACTTGGAAGAGATAATGCCGTGGTATTGTTCTCATAAATCCACGTATTAATATAGTCATCATCATTAAATATCACATATAACGTTGATTTTTCTAAACATTCACAAACTATTAACGCTAATGTCACCAGAAACATATGAGGTATTTTTTTCAATATTATCCTAACGTTGCAATCATCAAGAAAATGTGTTTGTCATTTACTTACCTATTTCATTTTCAAGTGGCTTTTTTTAAATGCATACTTAAAACAGATAAATCAGTAAAACACTGTGTTCAGTATTTTTCTGTATTTCTTACATTTCACTTGTTTGTACAACAGAAGATAGCTGTTAATAGCCGAAACCCCTTTTATAGCCACATGGGCTGCTATACATTACACAGTTACACACAAAAAAAGAAGATGGGTGGATTGGTGTTTTGTGACAGACAGACAGACATAGTATCGACATGTCCAAAAGACATGATTAAAATAAAGCGCAAGCCATTCCAAAGGAAATATGACAGATTGTAAAAACGTTAAGTAAATAACACATAGAATTTTATAGTCATAAAATGTAAACGTATTAAAATCTACAGGTGTATATACAATTTTAAAAATCATTCATATAACAAATATCGACGATATTAAAACAGGTTTGGGCGCAATAATAGTTCAATTCAGGCTGAGTGAGGTGAGGTGAAATGGGGTTTAACGTCGCGTCCAAGATTATTGCACTTATATAGCGACGTGCATGTACGTGTTTGTGTTTGTGTGGCTGCTTGTACTAGTCCGGACTGATGCCGATTTATAGTGCTAGCTCACTGAGATACCATGTCGCAGTTTAACATGAATACCCCACTCAGACACAGTATACTGACTCCGAGCCGACCAGTCCTTGTTTTAGCCCCTTAATGCCGAGCGCCAGACAGGGTAACAACAAGTACCATCTTTTAACGTCTTTTTGTATGACGCGGCCGGGGATCGAACCCCGAACCTTGCGCTCTCCGGGCGGACGCTCTACCACTAGACAACGGAGGCGGTCAGATATTCGTATGACTAAAACCGAAGGTCTTACATGCATGGACGTGTTTGCTTATGATTCCCCATACCATATTTTGTTTACAACATGAACCTCTGAAATGCTTGAAATATTGAAATAGAAAAGTTTCATTTGATAAGAATAACAGAATTTAAAAGTTTTTAATGTTGTGCAAATGGAATCCATGACATTTATTGGCCAACTGACGTAATGTGTATGACTGTGCTACTCCGAAACACTTTTTCTCTGATGCCATTGTTAATTCTGATGTTTTCGTGATATACACCGACCCCGTAAATGGAGTGAGTGAGTGAGTGAGTTGGGTTTAACGCCGCTTTTAAAAGTATTCCAGTTATATCGCGGCGTGTCAGCTTCATGTGGGAGGAAAGCCCGAAGTGATGCAGGTCTCAGACGTTTACCACTTCGGTGAATTCAGGAGCACAGGTATGGTGTTGACAAGCCTAGAAACATAATCGGACACGAACCGGGATTCGAACCCACGAAAATAGGTTTCTGTCGTGTCCAAGGGACGCAACTCTTCACAGACACACCCGTGCCACCCAATATTAATAAAATAATAAATAAAAATAAATAAATTATGACATCGGAGAGAAAACGTTTGATTCGAAATCAACGAAAACTCACACGCATCTATCGATCGTAACTCAAGACAGACCTCATATCATACTAATGAGCACCCCACCCCATCCCACCCTAAACCGTTGAGAAAATTAATGACATTCGCTTCTCGTAGACGAAAGTAACTTTGCCAAACAGAATATTGTGCATTGTAAAAGGAATACACAAGGACATTAATCATTGGACGTGATTAACAAATTCATGATTGAAGAGCCATGGGTATTGTCCTTTATCTATATAAATTATTGTCGTCCCCAACAAATATAGTTCAGAAGACTAAAGCCCTGACTAAAAGGTTTCATTGTAATATGTTTATTCTTTTCAAAGCTTTATTAACATTTTCTGGCGATCAAAACTGGTGGTATGCATCATTACACAATCAATAGATACAGAATTAATGTTCCTCAAGGCAAAACTCTCAGCGGAAAATAGCCTAATGAGATTAGAGGAATGTGGAGTTGTTCTAAGTGCAATAACTCAGTGTATTCAGAGCATATAAAGCTGATTGAGAACAACACACTAGATACCAGGTGACAGGGATCGTTGAGGTGAGTGGCAAACTTGAGCAAACTTTATTTGTAAAGTGCAATTATCAAACCGGTAACCTGAAATCACTAATATTCATCTGTGATTATTAAAATATAAATCCAACCGTTTGTACAGGGACAGTTTTATATCTTTTGTGTGACTGAAAAGCGATTATTTATCAACTACGATAAAAACATTATTTTTATTTTGGTGACATTAAAATGTACTATTGATGCCAATTGTCCCATGTTAAAGCTACTTCGTAAGATCTTCATCGTCATTATTTTCAACATTATTATTTTGTTTTTAATGTTTTATGTCTTTGGAATGATATGCGTTAACGTTGAAACGTGGTTGCTTGCCGACAATATGACTCTATATGACTTCTTTGGCGCAAGATTCGTACTGTCATGAATGTGAAAGCATAAGAACATATATTTTATTGTATTCATAAACTCGAAATACATGCATGGCCTTTAGGAGTATGTTCATATATTTTTCGAGCAGCTTTTTCCGTATTTCACGTTTCGTCTTTTATCATCTATATTATTGCGGCAAAATATCCAAAGATAAAGTATATTTGACAGTGATATAGACCCAAACCGGTTAACGAATTGAGACATTTCCAAATATGTTGGTTGGTTGGTTGTTTTACGCCGCACTCAGCAATATTCCAGCTATATGACGGCGGTCTGTAAATAATCGAGTCTGGACCAGACAATCCAGTGATTGATATCAGGAGCATCGATCCGGGCAATTGGGATCGATGACATGCATCAACCAAGTCAGCGAGCCTGACCACCCGACCCCGTTAGTCGCCTTTTACGACAAGCATTGTCGCCTTTTACGGCAAGCATGGGTTGCTGAAGACCTATTCTACCCCTGATCTTCACGGGTCTCCAAATATGTATCAAGCTTTTATTGGTTTTATTACTGGCATTTGAGTGAGTGGCGGGTGGATCCGGTAGAGCAGACCATGCTTACCCAACTGGCCAACACCTGGTTTCATCATGATTTTCCATGATCCACTCATCACTATTTTGTCTTTAACGCTCTATGGAATCTGTATTGGGAAGATATTCGAGGCAGATGACGTTGACGATTTGAAATCGTCACGGCTTCAAATGCCTTCGGTTTGTAGAAGTGTAGGGATTGAATCATATCGTATCTTGGAAAAATCGCCTCTTTAATTATAAAACATTTCTTTCCACAGACATAGTTGTACCATTCATCTGAAGCGTGCAAGAAACTTATCATCGTTGGTTCGAATCCCTAAATCATGATAAATTAATGATTATGTGTCTAGGTTTGTCAGCACCTTACCCGTGCTTGTGTGTTTCACCAAGTGGTAACCGTCTGAGACCTGCATCACTTCGGGCTCGTTCCAATATTAAGCTGACACGCCGTGATATAACTGGAAGAGTGTTCAAAGCGGCCTTTAACCAAATTCATTAAACCAATTACTCACTATTTCAGACTCCAAAAATGCAAGTAGTCGTACAAGTAGTCTTTGTCGCTGTGTTCGTCACGGCTGCGCTCGCATGGGAGGAGCCTCAGTATAAGCGGTTCTTCCCCAAACCAGAAGCGAAGACAGAGCCATCCTATTATTATGACAGGCAAGATGACGACAGACCCAAGGACTGGAAGCCGAGAAATGACAACAAACGACGTGATTACTATTATTATGACAGTCAAGATGACTACAAACCCAAGGACTGGAAGTCGATCAGTGACTACGAACAACGTGATTACGACTACAACAACGACTACTACTACCCTTCACAGCCCCGCGTACCCGACAGCACAAACTCAGGGTATGCTTACGACACGCAATATTATGAACCTAGATCTGCCAACCCACAACCAGTGCTTGAGTTGAATGGAAACCTGAAGTTGTATGGCAGCCGAAGGAGGAACGGCCCATTCCTCAACAAACTAACTCGGCAGGACTACTACTGGTGATTTGTGAGTACTTATACATGACGGAACCTTAGAAACGGAACCTTAGTCGGGGACACGTGGGGCCAGCTTCTTCAATTCTCTGTTCAGAGTTGCGTCCCTTAGGCGAGCCAGAAACTTATGGTCGTGGATTCGAATTTCAGATTTGCCATGTTTCTTGTTTTGTCAAGCACCATAGCCATGGTCGTAGGTTTCACCCAAGTTTTAAACATTTAAGACCTGCATCACTTCGAGCATTCCTAGGGGGCACGGGTGGCCCAGTCGTCTAAGGCGCCGCGATTCGCTGTGCAGAGTTGCGTCCCTTGGGCATGCCAGAAATCTATGATTGTGGGTTCGAATCCCGGTTCGCCCCGATTATGTTTCTAGGTTTGTCAGCACCATACCCGTGCTCGTGGTTTTCACCGAAGTGGTAAACGTCTGAGACCTGCATCACTTTGGGCTTTCCTCCCACATTAAGCTGACACGCCGCGATATAACTGGAATACTGTTAAAAGCGGCGTTAAACCCAACTAACTCACTCACTAACTTTTAAAGGACTGTAGTGAATATTCTCGAGAAGTTTACAACTGTTTGCATTCAGCCGTATACAAAACACGAACAGCCTATATACCATTAAGAGTTGCGTCCCTGAGGCATGACAGGAACCCAGGATCACGTGTTATGCCCGTACTCCTGGTTTCACCAAACTGATAAACATCTAACATCAGAGTGTGATATAACTGGAATACTGTTCGAAGCGGCGTTAAACCAAATTCAGTTACGAAAAAAACACCGGCTTTAACGCCGCCTATGTTCCAGTTATTTCACTACGTGTCAGCTTAATGTGGGGGGAGAAAGCCCGAAGTCATGCAGGTCTTAGACGTTTACCAGTTTGGTGAAACCCATGAGCACGGGTATGGAGCTAAACAGAAACATAATCGGAGCGAATCGGGATTCGAACCACAATCACAGGTTTCTGGCGTGCCCAAGGGAAGCAACTCTGCACAGCAAATTGCGGCGCTATGACGACCGGGCAATCAGTGTCCCACTTACGAATTAACAATTTTTCTTCAAAGCCTCAAATACAGAAATTGAGTTAAACTTACCTTTTTCAGTTATCATTACCATTTTTGATTATCATGTACATGCTTATTGTGTTTTAGGTCTGTAATTCTCGGGCAGTTCGGCGCATTGGGCTTCTCGGAAATGATTAAAGTTACGTCAAATACTCAGTTGTTGTTCTGTGTTTTGATGACACCATTTGGGATGCCGGATATGAGTGGGTCCTCAGTAACAAATGCTTTTCAAAAGTTCGATGACAGATAAAAATCTTAATCCCTGATTTTACGTGCGTGCATTTCGATCAGATTGGGGCGCACTGTTTTGTGTCTATATTAATTAGTTCTAATATACTTCTAGGTTTCCTAAGATATGAGACCCGTGAAGATCCGGGTTAGAATAGGTCTTCAGCAACCCATGTTTGCCGTAAAAGGCGACAATGCTTGTGGTAAGAGGCGACTAACGGGATCGGGTGGTCAGGCTCGCTGACTTGGTTGATGCATGTCATCGTATCCCAATTGCGTGGATCGATGATCATGATGTCAATCGCTGGATTGTCTGGTCCAGACTCTATTATTTACAGAACGCCGTCATGTGGCTTGATATTGCTGAGTGTGGCGTTAAACAACAAACAAACAAAACAAACACATCCTTAGATATAAAAAACAAATGCCCCGGGTGTATCAACATGTTTATACTGTCAACTGGCCTTGTCTTGTTTCCACCCTTCCATCCTTGCCTCATCAAGCCCACGTTCCGGTGCTAAATATGATTCACGACAGGTACACTTTTGTATGAAAGTGATTTACCAGTGGCTGTCTTTGTTGACACGAATATGTCTTTTTTTTATCTTTTAACAACGATTGCCTATGTTGTTGTGTCTGGGATGAACTCGCGAATGTTTTCATTATCTGATCGACATGGTCGTCGCCTATGGTAGTCGGCATCTTTGTGAAGCTATACAAGATAAGAACAGCGATCTGATTGGATATCGCGTTTTCATAACAAGGGGCACAACTCGTGATTTGCGCCAGGCGTCGCCAGGGTCGAGCCAAGAAAAATGGCCTTGATGTGGCATGGGTAGAAAGAAGTGGACACGCTTGCTCGGGAAGATGTGGTTTTATGTGCAATGTCAGATATATTGACCGAGTTCTGTTGTATCCGAACTCCATACAATCCTCCTGCTTATCTTTTCCTAGCTATGAGTTGATGTTTTCTTTGTCCGGTACATGCAGCTCTCGTTCTCTCATATAAACACTTTGGATTTCTTCATTGCTAAAGACGTTATAAACAAGCATAGCTGGCACCACAATAAAAAGTCCTCCTATTAGAAAGCATGTAGTGATGTTGAATTCCGGGGACCAGTACAAGACATCTAACTCCTCGTTGTAATGATACAGCGTCCAGAATATAGATGCGATGGGGGTTCTCATAGCTTGAACTAACGAGGCCAGGATTGCTCCCTCTGCATGCTTGATCAGCAGAAAGTGAAACAGGTATCCAACGCAGTGAGCGGTAATCATCATCCATACTTTCAATGACAGGTTTTGGCAGGATGCGTCCGCGGAGACACTACAGCGCATTCCCAGAGATATTCGACTCAGCAGATCTTGGACCGAGTCGGCCTATATAAAAAAAGCATGTTAAGTCATATAGATAAAAGCGACAAAACCTTTCCACATTCATAATAAATCTCTGCTAAAAGCAGAGTCCATTGTACGATTCCGACTATATCATGACCATGTGTTTATGCATCACTATTGTTAAGAGTCATTAGACCATATTCCATTAAGTTCCTTACATATAACACATTCAAATATTTATAAAAGATGAGGAATTGAGAGGGTCCTTAAGCAAACCATTGAAATATTGTTATGAAAGTTATCAGACGGATTTCATAAATAGAAATTAGACTTTGATCTTTTTAAAAGAAACAGAATAATGTTTCTGCAATCTCAATGTCATTGTTGATTTTGATCTCAGTGCTCGCGGTAACTTTTATGAGAGATCAGTGCTCGCGGTAAATGTCATGAAATCTCAGTGCTCGGGGCAGTTTTAATGAGCTCTCAGCGCTCGCTGTAATTTTAATGAGATGTTAGTGCTCGGGGTAGTTTAATGAGATGTTTGTGCTCGCGGTATTTCCAATGAGATCTTGGTGTTGGCGATAATTTTAATGAGATGTCAGTGCTCGCGGTAATCTTCTGAGATCTTTTTGCTGGCGGTAATTTTAATGAGATGGTAGTGCTCGGGGTAATTTAATGAGATGTTTGTGCTCGCGGTATTTCCATTGAGATCTTGGTGTTGGCGATAATTTTAATGAGATGTCAGTGCTCGCGGTAATCTAATGACATCTTTTTGCTGGCGGTAATTTTAATGAGATGTTAGTGCTCGGGGAAATTTAATGAGATGTTTGTGCTCGCGGTATTTCCAATGAGATATTGGTGTTGGCGATAGTTTAATGAGATGTCAGTGCTCGCGGTAATCTAATGAGATCTTTTTGCAGGCAGTAATTTTAATGAAATGTTTATGCTCGTGGTAATTTTAATGAGATGTTTGTGCTCGCGTTAATTCTAATGAGATGTTAGTGCTCGCGTTAATTTCAAGGATATCTTAGTATTCGCTGTATCCTTAATGAGATCTCGGTGCTCGCAGTAATAATAATGAGATTGGTAGTTTCTGTCACTTCTTCAACGTATTTTTTAAGGGGAGTCGACATTTTTGCACAACATTTAATTTGCAGGACATTTCAAATTAGTCTTTTTAATTTTATTTTTTTAAAAATACAACCCCCACATACAACCCACCTCCTCCCTTGTTTGTTAATGAATAATGTGAAATTCTTACCTTTCCAAACCCTGGAATTAGATCTGCCCAGAAGAGAAGTATGACCGACACTAAAGCAGACAGCTGAGCATAGACGAGAAAATTGACGGTGTTGATCTGAAAATAACATGTTCAGTATTACAGAAGGAGCAAGATGATAAATATCTTCACTCTTTTGCATTTTTCACAAGGCACATTTTAATTCTTTTACTAATAATACCAATCTTACTTTTCTGAAGTTAATCTGCCTTGCGTCATAGTCAGCAATACTCGAGCTACATCACGGTGACCCTCACGAGTACTCAAGGCTGGGTAAGGCAAATCAGTGGTTGACGGCAAGAGCAACGATCCACTTCAAAGGGGAGAACATTGTGCCCACCCGATCCTCATTACGCGTCTCAGACGACTACCATTATACTGACCCGTGAAGATTCCGGGGTAGAATAGGTCTTCAGCAACCCATGCTTGCCGTAAAAGGTGACTATGCTTGTCGTAAAAGGCGACTAACGGGATCGGTTGGTAAGGCTCGGTTGATGCATGTCATCGATCCCAATTACGTGGATGGATGCTCATGATATTAATCACTGGATTGTCTGGTCCAGACTCGATTATTTTCAGACCGCCGTCATATAGCTGGAATATTGCTGAATGCGGCGTTAAACAACAAACCAACCAACCAACCAAGAATCAAACTGTGATAATTTTATTCGCACTTTTGTGCCACTTGATTGTCTGGTCCATCACTTGATTATCTGGTCAAGATTGAATAAAGTTTTACAGGCCGCCATCGTGTGGCAGGAGTGAGTGAGTTGGGTTTAACGCCGATGTTAACATTATTCCAGTTATATCACGGCTTGGGTAGGCTTGTGGTTAAAGCGTTCGCTCCTCACGCCGCAGACCCGGGTTCGATTCCCTACATGGGTACAATGTGTGGACCCAATTTTGGTGTCCCCCGTCGTTATATTGCTAAAAGCGGCGTAAGACCATACTCACTCACTCACTCACTCAAAGTCCTTCTGTTGAATTGTACAATGTCATGTGCATTTCCAATTTTAACAAGTGTACTATAATATATTAGATGTTAAAGAAATAAAGCTTACTTGTGGACGTTTCAGTTGTTGTTCTGTAATGACTCTGTTAACTGCGTCAGGGACGAATCCAAAGCAAAATGAAAGGGGCCAAAGAATTCGTCCAACAGCGGATACCACTGTGGCACTTCCTGTGCTACTTCCGGTTCCGCTACTTCCCTTCAAGCCCCAGATACGAGGCTCCATCGTGATAAAGAGACCTATCATTGCGATTATTATACAAACAGCTCTTCTAAGGCTCACACCTGAAAAACGAATTAGCATTACTTAAACAATTTCGAAACACGTACACAAAAGGATTCTGTGTACGTTGTGTAAGATTAAATTTAAAGCTGAAACAAAAATGAATTAGTACTGATCACCAACATGATTATTGTTTAAGACATTATGTGTGTATGTCCAACCTGACATACAGATAGTTGTGTCCCTTTGCCATGCCAGGAGCAGCTGTTTCTGTCAACACTTTTCATGATCATCACCACATATACTGAACAAAACAAGTGAGGGATCAAGAATGTTTTCGGGTTATTTATTGTAGTTAAGACCGTCACACACTTTCATAAAAATATCCCAAACAAATATTCCTGACCACTAACTATTTTTCTGATGTATTCCGGTGAATTATTAAGCTGAATAAATATATTTCTCGAACACACAGTTGCCTTTCGTGTATATTAAAATATGCATCATATGGCTATTCATTTTTCAACGGGGGCCACGGGTGGCCCAGTCGTCTAAGGCGCAGCGATTCGCTGTGCAGAGTTGCGTCCCTTGGGCACGCCAGATACCTATGATTGTGGGTTCGAATCCCGGTTCGCCCCGATTATGTTTCTAGGTTTGTCAGCACCAGAACCCGTGCTCGTGGGTTTCACCGAAGTGGTAAACGTCTGAGACCTGCATCACTTCGGGCTTTCCTCCCACATTAAGCTGACACGCCGCGATATAACTGGAATACTGTTAAAAGCGGCGTTAAACCCAACTCACTCATTCACTCACTCATTTTTCAACGAGAAATAACAGTGTTCACAATGGTGGTTTTGATTCCTAATGCCCTCACATCGATAGTGATCAGTAAATAGATAGTGAGTAAGCTGGGTGAAATACCGAATCCTCATTGTAAGAGAAATGCAGTTTGGTGAAACCGATGAGCATGGGTAGGGTGTTATGACCAGGGCGAATCTTGCATTCCAATTATTGGAACATGGAGTTTATATCAGAGATCCAGATAAGCTGCGTATCTGCGTAAAATACGCATCAGAAATGCAGAAATACGCAGTAAAATAATATCCAAGCGTATCAAATACGCAACGAACATTACAGATACGCTACAAAAATAAAACTTGTGCGTATCATCAAAATATTGTGAAGTAACCCTGCGTATTCGATTAGCAAATCAGCAACTTATTTTGAAATTATAAACGGGCATTTCGTCAACCTTGCCAAACTCCACATGACAGTTACATCATGATCATTTGCCATCACACTTTCTTGTGGAAGTATCGTGGTATTTTTGAGTCCTATAAAGCTCTCGAACCCACACAACACCAGTTTGCAGGGACTAGATGAAGAGTGTTTTTAAATATTTAACTTAAATACCCACATGTGTAAAAACTAGTGGGTAACAGAAATTTGAATACCCAGATAGAATAGCTGATACGCAGTGATTTTAAAATGCATGGGTAAAATACCCAGAACACCAAAAGCTTATCTGGAGCTCTGTTATATGGGACGTAACTCTGCACATGTTCACTGCTGACCATGGCTATCAACATAGGGCGACCTTGGGATTCGAACTACCAGTCGATTCAAGGGAGTTTGAATTAACGCCGCTTTGAACAGTATTCCAGTTATATCACAGCGTGTCACATTGATGTGTTTAATTACTAAGTGAAACCCACGAGCACGGGTATGGTGCTGACAAACCTAGAAACATAATCGGGGCGAACCGGGATTCGAACCCACAATCATAGATTTCTGGCGTGGCCAAAGGACGCAATTCTGCACAGCGATTTGCGGTACCTTAGACGACTGGGCCTCCCGTACCACCTTGATTCAAGTATCTGGTTCATCCTTAAAGTTTTCTTTTTTCACTTTTGTCGGAGCTGTTGGGTACATACCTTTCCTCAGCATGATGTATCTACAAATGACTGTAAAAGGTATAAGAGAGGAACCGATGATTGACTGCAAATACGGAGGGGTTCTTTCTGGAAGGCTGGCAAAGACGATGAAGACTCCAGTCAAAGCATTTGAGATCCCATATATTACCAAAGATTTGAAAGTGGCAGTTGGCCTCAAAGGCAGCTCCCTGTCGAAGAAGACCTTCCAAGCCAGGTACACTGAAGATAAAATCAGAAGCTCCCAGACTGTATCAACCAACTGTCCGACAAATGCATCACTTCCGATTGCAGTGAATGTCGACGACCACACAGGCAACACCAACGATGTGACCAGATGACCAAGTAAAGCAAATATAGCAAGAATTATACTCTTGGCGTTTGTGGACAATCCTCTGATGCGTGACCGTAGACCCGATAAGCAGCCTGACGTTTCGTGTTCTTTTGAACCTCCAATGAGGCGTATATTTTCCTCGTCGGGATCACTTGTTTCCGTGTTTACGGTGTCGCTCCGATCGCAGGTTTGAATGGATGGATTACCCGTGCCTTCCATCCTTGTTACTTACGTCATCCAATAGGAATCTGTATTAGATGTTTAACAGTGGATACACAAATAAGCGTTTTGAACAGGAATACTTCACACGGCAAGCTGTGTGTCATGTTTTTCGTTCCATCTACAGAAGGAAGTCCACTCGCACAACCACTGACCTATTTTAAGCCACGAGCGAAGCGCATGACGATGACGCGACGAGACCGCTGAACTGGTCGACCCAGTTAAGAAGAATCAATGCTGCTGTATGAGTGGTTGTGGTCGATTGTGCTAGGGCTGGGAAGGGAAACTCGGGTACCCGGGTCGGGTGGGTACTGAGAAGGACCCGGGTACTCACAGGACTACCCGGACCCGTGGTTAGTCACGCGACATATTGTTTAATGACAAAAAATATCTGGAACTCTATGGTTACTATACAAGTCACAAATGTTCGCATTTCTTTCTGACAATGCACCCATTTCTTCTGACTTTTCATATCTTTGAATAAAGAAATAACTTGAGTCAACTTCAGTGCATGACCAGAATGTTTAATACATGTATCTAAATACGTTTTGCCGGTGCTATGTTAAAAAGTGCCCAATTTGACATTGTCTCTTGAGACCTACAATGGGTACCCGGGTAGGGTCGGGTCGGGTCTCAGCTCTTGTCTGTGCGCACTTCTGCACGTGGGATTCGTGTGTGTGTGTGTGTGTGTGTGTGTGTGCACTTGAGTGTTAATTGCACTTGAGTGCGTGGGTGTGTTTATGTGAATTTGAAAATGTTTGTTTATGCCATAGTCAGCCGGCCTCGGGCTTACATTCTCCGTCAAGACCGAGGCAGGAGTTTATATCTTCTTATGAGCCGTCTAAATGCAAGAAATACCAGGAAAAATAAGAAAACATCGACAATCCACATACCGTGTATCGCGGTATAAAAGGAATTCGCTCAACGCGTGCGAGAGAAAAAAACACGTGCAGAAAAGTCGAACCTATATTTATAACAGAGTGACATCGTTAGAGGTTTATAAGTCTTGGGCCGATATTGAATAAACATACGCCTGAGGATTCTGGTTGAGAATTATCCCCAGCAACATCGGCGTGTGAGAGGCGACTTTGTGGATCGGGTGGCAAGGCTCGATAACTTGGTTGACTGCCTGTCATCGTACCCAGACGTTGGTCAAAATATTAATCAATGGTCTGTGTGGTCCAAACTCGATTAATATCGCGATCGATCTAGAGTATTGTTATCTGTAAACAACAAACAAAACCATATAAGGTCACTGTGACATAATCTGACTGGAATAATGCCAACGTGAAACAGAAATATCTCAAATATCTCAGCAAGCTGTCTTCGGGGTTTGTTCAAATTTGCGGAAATCACAAGGGAGAATAGAGCTTGTGATTATCAGATAATCTATCAAAATGATGATATTGTCAGGGCGCCTTTCCACGTATCAGGTTATGTCACCAATTGTTTTTCACTTCAGAGAAACAAATGTTAGTCTAGCCACAATCAATATCGCTTGCCACGTGACTTGCTTCCCATGAGGTATGTATGTATCATGTGACATGTGATAGTGTACACTCATATCCCACGTGCATGTCAATACCGTCACTGTGATACGAGGCATTAGTTTCACGTGTGTGAGAGTGATAACGAGTGGGGATAACCTGACAGGTTATTAAAGATTGATTGTTTGTTTGTTGTTTATCGCTGCACTCGGCAATTTTCCAGTTATATGACGGCGGTCTGTAAATAATCGAATCTGGACCAGACGATCCAAAGATTGACATCATGTGCATCGATCTAGGCAATTGGGAAACGATGACATGCATCAACCAAGTCAGCGAGCCTGACCACCCGATCCCATTAGTCGCCTCTAACGACAAGCACAATCGCCTTTAATGTGAACTTTGGTCAATTTGCATGTGACCTGGTGTGCTATGGATCTGACCTGCGACTGATATCAAGTGACCTGCGTCACACTTCGGAACAAGGACAACAGATAACACCATTTTATTTACAAATATGACCTCGTCATGTATACATGTAATTTCATCATCTATAAATAACAACTATTCAACAATTTCACAAGACATTTACACAGGAATAATTTCATTATAGCTGTCGATAAGGTTAAATATCAAACATAAACTTTGTTGTTTAACGCCGCACTGCACTTAGCAATATTCCAGTTATATGACGGCGGCCTGTAAATAATCGTGTCTGGCCCAGACAATCCAGTGACTGACATAATTCCACGCAATTGGGACACGATGACATGCTAGCACCCAAGTACAACCAGCAAAGATTGGTTTGCACGTATGTTATAACCAAGACAACACGGTTAAAATATATACATGATGTTTACACACGTCTTCGTACGTCATTGGACTGTCATATTGATTACCATCTATCGGCCATAATCATCAGTAATATTTATTAAACCGTGTTCGTATATCAATTTGATATTAAGAAATATTATCGACACTTGTTTAGCGCCAGTTTATTATCACGATGAAGTGATTTAAGATAATATCCTGCAGAAACCTTGGCTCCTATTTTAGGTCTTCTGGTTTATAGTTTACATGTGGATTTAAATGATTTCATGCACGTGGACTTTATTCTTTGACAACATGTGTCCTACTCTATCATCCTTTCTTTCGACAGATATTTTCTGGCGTTGACGTTGACTGTTAGCAGAAATAATCTAGCGTATTCGACGAAATAAACGCCCCGCTCTAATAAGCGCCCACGGCGACATTTGCTAAGATATTGGCTAGTGAACAATCCCAATTAGCACCCCTTCCGATTGATCAATGTACACAAGACTTATTTATTCGCGTATAATACGCACTCGTGTGTTATACGTACACTTAATTATGGCCATTTAATTCTGGAAACAATTATCTGTCGTACATAAACATTTCAAGCTGTCAGCATGAACCACGAAATTTATCTTTCAACTCTGTTCTTTTTTCATCAAAATAATATTCTAATTTTTTTCTAATTTTGGGAGCGCCCTGGGCGCTTATTACGTTGAATACGGTATATTTTATAATCCCCCCAACCTTTTCTTCCGTTGTAAATATCATTTAATCAACGTGTAATTTTAAAACAAATCGCGCACTGATTTTTTTCAAAGTTAAAATGATGTATTAAACATGCTATTTTTAAACAGGTCGTGCACTAAAAACAACTCCAACGTTACTATTGTTATTCTTTTCTTATTCTTTTCCAAATTTACCGTAATATATTTTACATATGTTTTGCAAACAGGTCGTGTACTACACTCTATTTAAATACTGATACAATTTATTTTACATGGAGTTATCAAAGAGGTCGCGTTCTGAATTCAATTTCGGTTTTATCGCCATTTGTTTTACATGTGATTTTCAATGATGTCACGGACAGAACTTTCCTTCAGTTCTTTCTCCTTGGCGTCCTGTTTGCTGAAATAGTTGTACATGATTACAGTCGGAACGATGATTACAAGGCCACCTAAGGTGAAGCCGGTCGTAATGTTGAAATCCGGGGACCAAAAGAAGTGGTTGTTAGGAACGTCAAACTTGAACAGAGTCCAGAACAAGGTCGCCAAGGGCGTCACCATTGATTGGACGACAACCGCATACACTGCGCCCTCTGCGTATTCTATTAATAGAAATTGGAAGAGATTCCCGAAGCAATAGCCAATCAGAAACAACCAGAGTTTCCACCATAAGCCATTACATGCAGCCTCCGTGCTAAAGCAGCAGCCAAGTCCAGTTCCGAGGTTCCCACCAAACTCTCGGATCGAGTCAGCCTAAAACAAAGGTGAAAATCAGGAATTTATATAAACAACATACGCACTAGGATGTAAATAGTATTTTTTCTTACAGTTTTCAGGAGAAATTGTGTATTTTAAAGACAGTGTGTGTGTGTATGTGTGTGTGTGTGTGTGTGTGTGTTATAACGAATGTGCGAGGTTGTGTGGGTGTCATAAAACGAATGTGTTTGATTGTGTGTGTGCGTTCGTGTGTGTGTGTGTGTGTGTGTGTGTGTGTGTGTGTGTGTGTGTGTGTGTGTTATAAAATGAATGTGTGGGAGTGTGATTGTCATGAAACGAATGTGTCTGTCTGTCTGCGCTAACTCAAGCGTGCCCAGATTTGATTGGTTGTTAAACATAAGTGAAAATCGACAAGCCGAATGCTACATTTATAAAATTTGGGACATGATACCTTTAAACGGTATTCGAAATTAAAAGAAGGTCCAACGATTTCCGGGGTTTGAATCCACACCTTTTCTGAACCAATCAGATTGCCCCGGCAGCTTCAATTTGTTTTACAAGGAGAAAATAACTAACGAACTTCAACGATATATTTGTCCCGATTGAATGCCTGGCAAAATCCCAATGCCTTTTACAAAGGACTGAATAAACGGAATACTCACCATTCCAAAATGTGGAATGAAGTCAACCCAGAAGAGGGGCAGAATGGTTAACAGTTGAAAGACCTGTGACCACATGATGAAGTTCAAAGACTCTGACTGAAAGACACATAACATATATAATGCTTGTTCAATGCTATTAAAGTTGCAACATCAATTAACTTAAATTTGTTTTAAAACTTGGTCAAGGGTTTGGACCAGACGAACCAGTGATCGACAACCATATACGCCGTCAGATGACGCCGGAATACAACCAGACAGGACCCACGTCCTCATTTCTATCAACTCTTACAAGTGTTGGGTAATGCAGGAATCGAACGTCTTTGGTGTGAAAAGCGACCGCTTTAACCACTTGGCCATCTTCCCGAGGCAAGAGCGTTAACAGACAATAAAAGTCCAGTTTCCACCCTTGCCGAACTTGGCTAGTATTATGGAGTCTAATTTTGGCTGGACTAACGAGTCTATGCATAGTCCAATCAAAATCGCGCACCGAAATCGAAATCCGGTTCGTAAACTGTCGTACAGATTTAGGTCGATTGCAGGATTTGCAAAGCATGTGCACCGCCAACTCGTTGTCAGCAGATATTTTCCAAATCTTATCATGTTTTTAATCAAGGTGCTCACGTGATTTGATGCATTTCGCGATGTTAGACCCGTTTTATCACAATGTAGATCTTGATTATCGATCAGATCGTACTGACTGGGCGCCACCATTTTGTGTGAAGCAAACGCATGTGATACGAGTGGTGGAATCTGATTGGTCCATAGGAGAGGTTTAGAAGGGACATAACTGGTAATAGCCACTGGTGGCGCTACGATCGAGCCCAGTTATTCCAGCCAAGTTCGGCAAGGGTGGAAACTGGACTTTTTAAGTCAGTTAACTCTCTTGCCTCAGGAAGATGCCACTTGGCTATCACATCGCCAATAGTGTGTACCATGAACCTATGTCAAATGTGATCAGTCTACACGACTATACAGCAAGAGAATATTGTACCATTACGTTGTTAGGTAACAAAGAGTATTTTACCGACTAAATCAGGATACATGAACATATTTTTACCTCGGTCCCATGAAGTGCCTTCTCCACGATGACGCTGCTTATCCCTGCGGGCAAAAAACCCAGCGCAAATATACAAGGCCAGAGAATACTTTCTGAGCTGCCGGAGCCTTCAGCCCCACTCCCTTCCAGCCCCCAAATTTGGGGTTCTACCGTGATGAAAAGACCGACGAGAACCACCCCGGTGCAAACAAGACGCCGGATGCTTATACCTGGAGAATAAATAATATGTATTTTAAAGTATTTTAGCATTTTATAGAAACAGGAGTTTTTATTGTGAAAAGCATTCCTATTGGTTTAAGAAAACAAATTTTCAATTCAAATACTGTATTAGTCTGAATGCCTTGTGTGACGATATCGTCAATATACATTGGGGGGGTGGAGGGCAGTTTAATACAATTACTGTGTGATATATAATTATATTGAGATTCATCATAAAATATCACGACAACAGTCCATCGTTATGTACCAAGAGCTACCGAGAACAATCAAGGAGCCCAGCTTATCACTGCAGAATTACATCCGTGCCTGCCCGTGAAGATCTGGGCTGGACAGGTCTTCAGCAACCCATGCTTGCCGTAAAAGGCGACCGTGCTTGTCGTAAGAGCCGACTAACGGGATCGGGTCGTCAGGCTCGCTGACTTGGTTGATGCATGACATCGATCCCAATTGCGTGGATCGATGCTCATGATATTAATCACTGGATTTTCTGGTCCAGACTCGAATATTTACAGACCGCCGTCATATAGCTGAGTGCGGCGTTAAACAACCAACCAACCAACATCCATGCACTTTTACAGACTTAATTCAAAACTAACATCGATTTTACTTTCAACAAAAACAGTAAACGCACTATTATGTCACAGGATTGTCTGGATTATAGGATCGTACACGTAGGGCATAGAAGCAAATAATATAGTTTTACTCTGAATGTTGTTTTATACTGATGTCAGTGTAGGGCAGCATGTTAATAAATTCTATAGGACCAGTGGTTGATAGCATAAGGGGTATGTCAAATATTGCGACCGTCCGTTTGTCATTTAGTTGGATGTTGCGACACGCAACGGGTGCTGGAGACATAATGAGCCCAGGGATCTCTTCATCAGGTAAGGGCACCGCCGTGATCTGTTTGGTTGGGCGTCTCCCCGGACATTCGTGACCAACTCGTGTTATTCCGGGACAAGCCGAATAGCGACTCGTGCCCCTCTCATGGCCATTTTTGCGACCGGGTTCCGTCTTAGCGCCAAGGGGCATACCTAAAACAACTGTCAACTCGTTGCGTAATGGTTCACATATATATCCCCATATATTATAATTTATTTTAGATGCAACTTAAAGCATATCGGGACATGCGGAAATATACAGTATGATTGAACACATTCCCTGTGTCATGGGTACGTTTTTAGATGCAAGACATATGTAAAATCAAAAATTATTTCTGAGGGATTCTTTGACGAAGAACTTGAAATCATACGCGCATTCTGATTGGTTTGTCGTATTTTCGCACATAACATTCATAGATAGGGGGACGGGTCTTCTTGCAGGTTACGGAAAGGGGCGAGTGGTGACGAATGCTAGCGGAATGCCGGCGGTTCGATTTCCGGCCGTGTTAAACAAAAGACGTTTAAAGATGGTCCATGATGGTGCCTGTTTGACGCTTGGCATTAGGGGATAAGTAACTTAACACAAAATGACAACAGCCACACCACAGGTATGGTCATCAGCGATGAAGGTTACCAGGTGATAACAGTGCATCTGTGTTATCTCCTTTTGTATACATGTGATGTAACCTTGTCTGAGGTGAGGTGAGGTGAAATGGGGTTTAACGTCGCACTTATATAGCGACAAGCATGTACGTGTGTGTGTTTTGTGTGGCTGCTTGTACTAGTCCGGACTGATGCCGATTTATAGTGCTAGCTCACTGAGATACCATGCCGCAGTTTAACATGAATACCCCACTCAGACACAGTATACTGACTCCGAGCCGACCAGTTCTTGTTTTAGCCCCTTAATGCCGAGCGCCAGACAGAGTAACAACAAGTACCATCTTTTAACGTATTTTGGTATGACGCGGCCGGGGATCAAACCCCGAACCTTCCGCTCTCCGGGCGGACGCTCTACCACAAGACCACGGAGGCGGCCTAACCTTGTCTGAAACATGACATGCTAATACATGCACAGTGTCCGTGGCTCGCCATGCTTCTATTGATAGCTGGCGTATAGTGAAGCAATTTTGACATACGCCACGTCATGCCATTGTCAAGGACGACTTTCTGCCATTACAAAAGCAGAAACAAAGGTCTGTTATTGTCACAGGCGGGGTTAAGATGGGCAGGTATCATAGGACAGACGCCAATGTGTGACCGAGTATGATGGTTTGTCTGTTCAAGATTCAAACATAATGTCGTTCCATTACTCAACGATTAACGGTTACGGTGTAAAAAAACATTCACGGACTTTCTGAGGCAATGAGAAACATGACGTGGTGCCTACAGTATAATCAAATTTGGGTTTTGCTAGGTTTTTGCCTCAGTGATTGTAACACAATGTCATGCACGTTCTACACCACTCAATCTCCATACTGGGGCGGTAGGGTTCGATTCCTACAATGCGTGAAGACCATTTCTGGTGTCCCCCACCGTGATATTGCTGGAATATTGCTAAAAGTGGCGTAAAATCAAACTCACTCACTCAATCTCCATTCTGCTCTTCAGACACGTAAGGCCAAATACGTCAAATCTTACCCAAAATTATTACCTTTCCAATATAAAAACCCAAAACATTCGAACATTATCCATTGAAACAAAAAAACAACAACATGAGAATGACATATTACCTTTTCTGAGGATGAGAAATCGACATACAACTGTGTAGGGTATGACGGTGGTTGCCAGGATACCTTGCAAATATGGCGGTGTGCGACTTGGGGGACTCGCAAACACAACAAGAACTCCGTTCATGGTAGTAGCGAACCCTACCAGTAACAAGATCTTCCAGTTAGCGGTTGGTTTGAAGCACGAGAAGCTGCGTTCAGTTGGGTATTTCATGACAAAAGTCATAACTGCGAAGAGCAGAGGAAACAATATGGACGACACCAACAAAACAACAAATGTGTCTCCGCCAACTTGGTCCATCGTCCCTGCAAACACGGGAAGCGAGACGTTCATGAGGACGTTAGAAGCAATGTTAATGACGGCGATGAAGACAGTTAACGCCCCTTTTGAAATCCCCAATTTCGCCGTTATTCCAGTTTGAGGTTCCTTGCGCACATGTAGGAGCGTTACAATGTCAACGGGTCCAGTTTCTTTTGGAGGTACAGACGGGTACACGTTTCCGGTACCACGATACCTGCCGGAATTGTCAACATTGCTTTCGTCAGCTGGAGATAGTATCGGATGCTTGTCGTTTTGAACATTCATCCGAGATTGTCTACTACCCGACATTTCTTCAAATATAGAGGTTGTTTCAAAATTATCCAATTCCGGGTTCAATACGTCTCCTTGTTGGCTCGTGGTATGCCAAGAAGTGATCACAAAATTTTGTTTGGAAGGAAATTAAAACTGTCCACTCACGCCTCGTGACAACATTAATACAGTCATATGACATCCGATAAAGTTTCATTTAAACCGCTGATGTATTTACAATAGAAGAGATAACCTTCCTTTGTCGTATGAAGAGAAGATAATGATTTCCTATTGTATGAAGTATCAGGTGCGCGTCGGAAATAGGCTAAACTCAACTGGCGTTGATTTGGCAGGACATGCTTGCCCTTTTCGTAAACAGAGGCGTGTTCAGGAGGGCGGGCGCTCGCGCGAGCGAACAGCGAGACACTATAACGCCTTCCTGAACGGAAGGCGCGTACTCGCTCTCGCGGCACAGCATTCAAAATGGCGGTGTCGGGACTGCTCTATTCGAGTTGCCGTTAGATGACTTATCAAAGCCGGCGGAGGCTATGGATGCCACTTATTTAGATTACGCCCACACTGCTCTCAGTGTTTTATTACAAGACAGAAAGAGGGATCAATTTTGTATTATCTCCGTTTGTTAGGCACAGTTCCATCATTTGCACAATGTTGGACGCCATCTTGAATGACTAGGCGAACTACCTCCCGCGCTTGATCGCGAGTACACGCGTGCGCTCGCGCGGTCAGCCGTGTTCAACAGCGGGCGCTCGCGTAATATCGCGAGCGCCCGCCCTCCTGAACACGCCTCAGAACTGGATCGGGTGACGGAAGGCGCGTACTCACTCTCGCGGCACAGCATTCAAAATGGCGTCGCCGGGTGTCGGGACTGCTCTACTCGAGTTGGCGTTAGAAGAATTATCAAGGCCGGCGGAGGCTATGGATGCCACTTATTTAGATTACGCCCACACTGCTCTCAGTGCTTTATCACAATACAGAAGAGGGATCCAAGCCCCACTTGGCACAGAACGCATAGAGGACTATGTAGAAGCTACCGTACCTCGATACAGCGACCCCTGTTCAGGGCTCACTTCAGAATGAACAGAACGTCCTTTCAGGGTGTAATATTATTTCCAGTTCGTTTTGTGACATAATCTTTGAAACAGTCTGCGTATGAATTAATCACGATCACTTTAACCACTAGGCTACCCGAGTGACCCCTTTTGGGTAGAAAGGCAGTTGGGATAAAGAACAACCCATTGAATACTATTGCTTTGAAAAGTACTTCCAGAGATATCACTACATGTCACCTTGTTTGTTGGAGGAAAGCCCAAAGTGATGCAGGTCACAGATGTTTACTACTTGGTTAGAATCTGTTTCATCGGATAATCGAGATGGGTTATTCTCTTGGGTGGAAGATTAACGTTTACTACTTCTGTGGGTGGATTATACATGTACTGCATGTTGAAGTTGATCTTTGTTGTCCTTACAGAAGGAGGTGTCACGAATGTTCACCGTACTTAACAACACAACACACAATGTGAATAGAATAGACACGTCACGTCATTAAAAATGAAATCATAAACACGCTATGTTGTTTGTTTGTTGTTTAACGCCGCACTCAGCAATATTCCAGCTATATGATAGCGGTCTGAATAATAATCGAGTATGGACCAGATAATCCAGTGATTGACACCATGAGCATCGGGATTGGGATATGATGACATGCATCAACCAAGTCAGCGAGCCTGACCACCCGATCCCGTTAGTCGCCTCTTACCACAAGCATAGTCGTCTTTTATGGTAAGCATGGGTTGCTGGAGATCTTTTTTTCTCCCCGGATTTGTTACACAAAAGTTTAATATGCTATTAAGTAATCAAATATTGTATGGACCATGGGATACGGATGACATTGTCGTTTAAGGTGCCGAATTTAACTGTGTCATTGGTCGTGCCAGAATCTTATTATCGTGGGTTCGAATCCTACATTCCTCCTGGTGAATTTTGGTTTGTCAACAATTTATACCTCTGCTTGTGGGTTGCGCCTGAGTGGTAAACATACTTCACAAGGGGTTTTCCCATTTAAAAGTGACCATCTTCCCAAGGCAAGAGCGTTAACGCTGACTATAAAAATCCAGTTAAAATCAAGGCTCGAATTTCAAGGGTCAATCGTGGCACCACAAGTGGTTATTACGAATTATGTCCCTTCTATGTTCCTCCTATTGACCAATCAGATTCCACCTCAAATATCACTTGCAACTGCTTCAAACAAAATAACGGCGCCCTGTCAAGATGATCTGATCGATAATCAAGATCTATATTGTAATAAAACGGGCCTTATCTCGCGAAGTGCATCAAATCAATTGAGTACCTTCATAAAATAACATGAAAGGATGTGTAAAATATCTGTCGACGCCCAGTTAACGTACATGTTTTGCAAATCCGTGCAATGTGTGAAGCCCATTTCTGGTGTCCCCGCCGTGATATTGCTAAAAGCGGCGTAAACCCAACTCACTCTGACTGACTGTTTTGAATACTATTTGCATAATATCTGAATAATAACGTCAAAAGCGTCAATTCTGCAAAGCGAATTGTGGTGCCTTAGACAACTAGTCTTCCAATAGGCAATTTGGGTAAGAGTGAGTTTGATTTTGCACGGCGGCATTAAGCAGACACTTAAGCAATATCACGGAGGGGGACACCAGAAATGGGCAGTTGGGATAAAGTGAGTGAGTGAGTATGGTTTTACGCCGCTTTTAGGAATATCACGGCGGGGGACACCAGAAATGGGCTTCACACATTGTACCCATGTCGGGAATCGAACCTGTGTCTTCAGCGTGACGAGCGAACGCTTTAACCACTAGGCTACCCGACCGCCCCAGTTGGGATAAAGAACAACCCATTGAATACTATTGCTTTGAAGAGTACTTCAGAGATTCACTTCATGTCACCTTGTTTGTTGGAGGAAAGCCCAAAGTGATGCAGGTCACAGATGTTTACTACTTGGTGAAACCCATCAAAGGGGATGGTGTTCACAGACCAAGAAGATAGGAAACTATGCAAGCTATGATGAGTGCCACGATTCATGCAGCTATGTCAGAGACAACAAACACATGGGACAACAAACCAATCATCAGCCGATCACATCTTCCCAAGGCAAGGGAGTTAAATGACTGTAAAAGTCCAATTTCAGTGTGGAAAATGGACTTCAACAGGGCAGCTAACACCCTTGCCTCGGGAAGATGGCAGATCCTGGCCCAGAATAGATGACTTAACAACCTCAATGGCAAATTCCGGAGTCAAAGAGTGAGTGAGTGAGTTGGGTTTAAAGCTGCTTTTAACATTATTCTAGTTATATCACAGCGTGTCAGCTTAATGTGGAAGGAAAGCCCGAAGTGAGACAGGTCTCAGACGTTTACCACTTCAGTGAAACTGATGAGCACGGGTATGGTGCTGACAAAACCTAGAAACATAATCGGGGCGAACCGAGATTCGAAACCCACAATCATAGGTTTCTGGCATGCACAAGGGACACAACTCTGCACCGCGAATCGCGGAGCCTCTGATGACTGGGCCACCCCAGAGTTATTAGTAAGACAATATAGAAATGAAGCCCAGAAGTGACAAATAAAATGTTTATTGATGATACATGACTTATCTTACAATGAACAAAGACTTTGCTTTATGTGATAAATGACACACTAACAGTGTTACTCCGTCTTTACTCTTCTGTTAAGATGGAAATATGAGGAAATTATTTTGAAAACAATGCCTTTAAGATCTTTCTAAAAAGATCATTCATGTACAAAGTTATTCACAGTTTGTACAAGTCTTAAGTTAAGATCATTATTCCCCAGTGGATTTGGAATAAATATTGAGACCTGGGGTACTACAATCACGTTCAAAGGATCCAGACAAGATCATAACCATTATTTTTAGTATTTATTTTGAATTATTTCATGTACTGCAAGTTTTATAAACAAATACTTTGGCCTGTTTCAGAAATTATTCTCACACCATGCAGGTAGGGTCAATGCACTTGCAAAAGTCTTGGATGACATTTCCTGATAATTAATTGTTTATTGAAACAGGTGGAGTTTCAATGTAACCAATGCAATAACAGTCAAATTAGGCAAAGCTTAAAAAGAAAATGAAAACACAATCTTAAAAGCCATTTTTGTGGCAGACTTTCTTGAACTTTTGAAAGTGATCAAGAGTACAAACATATATATGATAAATCACAGATATACTGCAGTAGTTGGTGTACCTCTAATAATATTTGGAGGCAGATGGTAAAATTACTTTCAGACAAAATATTCACATTGAAATGTTTCTGACACCTGTCGACTGTCATTGTCAAGACTCGCAAGGGAGACAACTCCTGTCTCCTCAGCAAGGTTGGACAAGTGAGAAGCTGGACTCAGTACTGGAAACTTCGCTTGGTCTTGATGTCGTCCAATATCTGCTGGAGCTCATCCTCCTCAAACCTTCCTTCCAAACTGCAGAGAAAAACAACAGTAGTAGAATATCATCTTTTCACTTAGCTGCCATGAAATGACTTTATTCAGTAAAAGGGGCATTATAAAAACCACATATCACATTCAATTCAGTGACAGAAAGCACTGTTCAAATATATGATAGCAAAAGGATATAGGTCCTACGTGAAAATCAAGTACTTCTGCAATCTTTTAAATGCTAAAACCATATATTTACCCAGAGAGTATATTACAATTGGATTGGATGTACATATCATCAGTTTATTTTGTGATTAATTCTTATAAGAGTAACAAAGGAGAACATATTCCCTTAAGCTTTGACAAAAAGGACACTCCATTTCATTGTAATGTTGATAATGATTAATTTCTTCTTTATCTCGAGACAATAAGAAATATTGTCGGTTGATATTCCAACATTCTCAGAGGCTGATATGCAGCCCAGATCTACAGACAAAATCCCAACATTTCGTTTCTGAGTGTCACAGCATCGACATCCAAAAAGATGTACTATTGAGGTGTATTTGTGCTTTGGAGTGGTTTTCCTTCATTAGGATCGTAGTTTCAGAAGCAGGTGAAGAAATTAAATCAGAAGCTGATATTTGATTGGCTCAAGAACCCTCACATTCTTCATTTCAATTGGGCAGTCAAAGTATGCTCTGCGTTCACAAAACATGACCTTCTATGGGCCTCCTCAGATCTTCAGGCAGAGTAAAATATCTGATTTTATTAGATTGTAATACTCTGTAGGAATATTTAAGCTTTATTGAGGAGGCCTGTGAAGTATCAAGTGTACACCAGACTAGAAGAGGACTTATAGTTAACCAATGATGAGTTGGGATACAACATGCAAGCACACAAATCACAAACTCTCAGCAACCCATCCGAATGTTGGTTGCAGCCTGCATGGACTGGATTACTGGGTGCTTATGTGATCAGGCCCCGATTTCTCGAAACAAACTTAAGTTCAAAAACTGACTTAAGTCTTTTTAAAGAGTTTTTACTCAAATTTGAGAAAACTCAGCAAAATGCATTTCTCGAACCAAACTGTGTTTGATTTTGAACTCAAACTGAGTTTACAATTTGAGTTAGGTAGGAAGGTAACTTAAGGTTTTCTGTCGGTCATAAAATGGCGGTGTTGAATTGGCGTAGAAGTCGTAGGCAGAAACAAAAATCAACATTGTCAAGGAGATTAGTCGATAGACAAAATCCTCTCGAGAAATGCAGTTGAGTTACAAACTCAGCTGAGTATTTGAAAACTCAGTTTGAGATTTGAGTAAAAACTTCAGTTTGTTTGGAGAAATCGGGGCCAGGAATCCTTTAAGGGTTAAATAGCATGAAAATTCTATCATTCACAACTGAGATTTAAAGAAAACACAACAATCTGGAGAGTTTGCATTACTCCAGTATAAAAAGAAACTGATTTTCAAAGTAAACATAGAGAAAGCATAAGTTGTTGGTTGATCTTTTTGAAATACATGTATGCTGTATTTATTTATCTGATGGGCAGTACCTGGGAATGAGAGATTTTGCCTCCTCTGATGTTTCTGGGCACAGGTTGGCCAGGGCAGCAAGTTCAAACTTGTGTAACTTCTTCTGCATGAGCGAACTTGAAGACAGAAACATGCATTGTTTATCATCATGATCATGGAGATAACCATGACTACAGCAGCAGGAAATCATTAATGTAACAAAATAAATATCATTCATTTTTGTAATTTTGTAACTCCAAAAGCCAATGTCTTGGACGTCTTTGAATATTTATTATTATGTTTATCATCTTCAGAGGTTATTTCCCCATAATGAGACACACAATAATTATATATATTAAAAGGCAAAAGTATTTATCATCATGATTAAGTTCATCTTCCCGAGGCAAGAGAGTTAACTGACTTTAAAAGTCCAGTTTCCATCCTTGCCGAATTAGGATGGAATTACTGGGCTCGATCGATCGTAGCTAGCAGCTATTACCAGTGGTGTTCCTTCTGAGCCTCTCCTTTTGACCAATCAGATTCCACCTCTCATATCACTTGCATTTGCTTCAAACAAAATGGTAGCACCCAGTCAGGATGATCTGATCCATAATCAAGATTGACCGAAATCTGCAAGACAGTTTACGAACCAGATTTCGATTTCTTGTACTATTTTGATTGGACTATGCATAGACTCGTTAGTCCAGCCAAAATGTAACAACATAATACCAGTGTAGTTTGGTTAGGGTGGAAACTGGACTTTTACAGTCAGTCAGTTAACTCTCTTTCCACGGGAAGATGGATTAAGTTGGGGTTTTCACACAAACCTCAATACTTGTTTCAGAGTCATCTCCTATTCTTTGAATGTTTAAGGCGTACTGATAATTGGACTTAAAACATGCACATTACCCCAAAATGCTTTCAAACACAAGTGTCAAGATTTTTAATTCTGCTTAACTTAAACTTAATTCATTAATATCAACCTGGCAACAATAGTAATCATCGGCTCATAGAAATGGATTTGAAAATACTAAACAATGACTAAGACAAGGTTTTGTTCATGTCTATTAGCAACTTTGTGAGTCTTAACCAATTGTACACTGAACAACAGGAGACCTTATTCTACCTTCTGACAGCGGCGATGGTTTCTCTGTTCTTGAACTTGCTGAAACGGGAGCAGTAGTTGAGCGTCTTCATGAACACCTCAGACAGTTCCTGCTCCTCCTCCGCACTCTCGTTCTGCTGCTTGCTTGCAACACACACAAACACATGGTCAGTATACTGCTGCTGCTTGCAACACACACAAACACATGGTCAGTTAACGCTGCTGCTTGCTTGCAACACACACAAACACATGGTCAGTTAACGCTGCTGCTTGCTTGCAACACACACAAACACATGGTCAGTATACTGCTGCTTGCTTGCAACACACACAAACACATGGTCAGTATACTGCTGCTGCTTGCAACACACACAAACACATTGTCAGCTAGTGCTGCTGCTTGCTTGCAACACACACAAACACATGGTCAGTTAACGCTGCTGCTTGCTTGCAACACACACAAACACATGGTCCGTTAATGCTGCTGCTTGCAACACACACAAACACATGGTCAGTTGATGCTGCTGCTTGCTTGCAACACACACAAACACATGGTCAGTTAATGCTGCTGCTTGCTTGCAACACACACAAACACATGGTCAGTTGATGCTGTTGCTTGCTTGCAACACACACAAACACATGGTCAGTTAACGCTGCTGCTTGCTTGCAACACACACAAACACATGGTCAGTATACTGCTGCTTGCTTGCAACACACAAACACATGGTCAGTTAACGCTGCTGCTTGCTTGCAACCCACACAAACACATGGTCAGTTAACGCTGCTGCTTGCTTGCAACACACACAAACACATGGTCAGTTAACGCTGCTGCTGCTTGCAACACACACAAACACATAGTCAGTTAACGCTGCTGCTTGCTTGCAACACACACAAACACATGGTCAGTTAACGCTGCTGCTTGCTTGCAACACACACAAACACATGGTCAGTATACTGCTGCTGCTTGCTTGCAACACACACAAACACATGGTCAGTTAACGCTGCTGCTTGCTTGCAACACACACAAACACATGGTCAGTTAACGCTGCTGCTTGCTTGCAACACACACAAACACATGGTCAGTATACTGCTGCTGCTTGCAACACACACAAACACATAGTCAGTTAACTCTGCTGCTGCTTGCAACACACACAAACACATAGTCAGTTAACGCTGCTGCTTGCTTGCAACACACACAAACACATGGTCAGTTAACGCTGCTGCTTGCTTGCAACACACACAAACACATGGTCAGTTAACGCTGCTGCTGCTTGCAACACACACAAACACATAGTCAGTTAACGCTGCTGCTTGCTTGCAACACACACAAACACATGGTCAGTTGATGCTGCTGCTTGCTTGCAACACACACAAACACATGGTCAGTTAATGCTGCTGCTTGCTTGCAACACACACAAACACATGGTCAGTTGATGCTGCTGCTGCTTGCAACACACACAAACACATGGTCAGTTAACGCTGCTGCTTGCTTGCAACACACACAAACACATGGTCAGTTAACGCTGCTGCTTGCTTGCAACACACACAAACACATAGTCAGTTGATGCTGCTGCTTGCTTGCAACACACACAAACACATGGTCAGTTAACGCTGCTGCTTGCTTGCAACACACACAAACACATGGTCAGTTGATGCTGCTGCTGCTTGCAACACACACAAACACATGGTCAGTTAACGCTGCTGCTTGCTTGCAACACACACAAACACATAGTCAGTTGATGCTGCTGCTTGCTTGCAACACACACAAACACATGGTCAGTTAACGCTGCTGCTTGCTTGCAACACACACAAACACATAGTCAGTTGATGCTGCTGCTGCTTGCAACACACACAAACACATGGTCAGTTAACGCTGCTGCTTGCTTGCAACACACACAAACACATAGTCAGTTGATGCTGCTGCTTGCTTGCAACACACACAAACACATGGTCAGTTAACGCTGCTGCTTGCTTGCAACACACACAAACACATGGTCAGTTAACGCTGCTGCTTGCTTGCAACACACACAAACACATGGTCAGTTAACGCTGCTGCTTGCTTGCAACACACACAAACACATAGTCAGTTGATGCTGCTGCTTGCTTGCAACACACACAAACACATGGTCAGTTAACGCTGCTGCTTGCTTGCAACACACACAAACACATGGTCAGTTAACGCTGCTGCTTGCTTGCAACACACACAAACACATGGTCAGTTAACGCTGCTGCTTGCTTGCAACACACACAAACACATGGTCAGTTAACGCTGCTGCTTGCTTGCAACACACACAAACACATGGTCAGTATACTGCTGCTGCTTGCAACACACACAAACACATGGTCAGTTAACGCTGCTGCTTGCTTGCAACACACACAAACACATGGTCAGTTAACGCTGCTGCTTGCTTGCAACACACACAAACACACGGTCAGTATACTGCTGCTGCTTGCAACACACACAAACACATAGTCAGTTGATGCTGCTGCTTGCTTGCAACACACACAAACACATGGTCAGTTAACGCTGCTGCTTGCTTGCAACACACACAAACACATGGTCAGTTAACGCTGCTGCTTGCTTGCAACACACACAAACACATGGTCAGTTGACCCTGCAGCAGAGGAGAGCCGAGTAAGCTCGGGATTAACGGCCGTTGTTTGCAAACGTCATGTCCCTTCAAACAATGACAATAACATGTACATTTAGTCAATGGGAACGTTTTATTTTCACCGTTTCGATTCCCTCTCGTCGTGTTAAAACAGAAATCTACTCAAACTTGTACAGTTATAGGCAACAATGCAGTTTACCGGACGCAGTCCAACTCTATCATCCGCTCAATTACTGCACTGTAGTGCGACCGCTGTCTCGCTATACTGTTACCGTGACTCACTTCACGATCCATCACCCCTTTTCGGTCCTTATGGTTAGCTGGCTTAGGGCAAGGGTTAGCCATAAATTCTTACCTTTTCAAGCATTAATCCAGTTAATCCAATTGGTCGGTTATGTTGACATAAACAATGGCGGTTGTGGTTTCAAGAAAAAAGAATGGGAGAGCAGACCGTGACATCACACGCAAGCGCAATTTAATTTTTACTGAATTACGCATGAGTGTTTTTGGGGTGCTAATGACCCGTTAAACGAGCACTAATTACATGTGATAGCGCCCGTGGTCCAGTGGTAGAGCGTCGGCTAATTGGCGAATTAATTAGCCAAGCCGGTGAGCCGACGAAATGCGTTCGGGCCCCCACAGCCCTCATTGGATATGAAAAAGTGCGCCCGGTAAAGTTCACTACTCCCGAGTTATACTCAGAAGTTTTCAGAAATGACACACAAAAATTGTCAGTGTGTAACTGGTCTCTACCCTGTTTTGGCAGTGTTGTTGACCTGGGTTATAGCTAAAACGGCACCTCAGCAAAACGGCACCGATTGGCGAAAACGTCACCTCGCCTCAAGCGAAAACGGCTACTATTGCCTGGCGAAAACGGCACCCTATTTTTTTAACCTTGGTAAAATAAATGAAATTAAACTTACATGGTCGCTTGCAAACACCAATAATTGTGAAATGTTAAAACAAGTTTACATTAGAAATTAGCCTCTACTCCAACTTAGCCTATACGCAACTCAACTTATTGTGAAAACATAACATGCCTTGAAGTAAAATGAATCAAATTAAACTCACATCGTCTCTTACAAAACACCAATTATAGAGAAATGTTAAAACAAATTTACATAAGAAATTAGACCCCTACTCCAATTTACACGCCGACTCTGATTGGGAGGCGCAAGTAACTTATAGTCCCTGGTGACCCTGGCAGCATAAATCGTTCTTATCGTTATTAAAAACAGAGGTGCCGTTTTCGCCAAATGCGGTGCCGTTTTCGCCTGCACCCGTTGACCTAACCATGCTGACACAACTACCCAGAGAATAGACGAGGCTTGCAGTGCTTGGCTGGGCCACTGACGAAGCCAACATTATAGTACCATAGCTGCGCCTGGTAAACTGCAGTCTTGCGAAATTTGAACACAATACTCCTATGACATACATACCGATGTTCTAACAACATCTGTACTTCCGATATCAGCAGAGTCTCAGCATTTTCGAATTCTGAAACAAAGACGGATCGTTAGCATGGTGGGTGGTGACGCTAATGAATATGGTTAGACAAACTCATACATGTGGATGACCGGTCCACACACTGTATGACACAGTCCTCAAACATAAACAATGCCACACATAAAACTGTATCACTATCAGTAGATTCAGACATAGTATTACATAACCATTAAACGCGATGATATATTTCAACATTCAAACAGACACACACGAACTTACAGAGTTTTCAAATAGTTACCTTTAGGGAACTGTAATTCTGAGGCATCTTCCTCTTGCTGGTCTGATGGCAAAACGCTCGCCATGTTGCCGACACGAATTTGATAAACTTCCGGTTTTTTCGGTGTAGTAAAAACATGAACAAAAGTCGAAAAGAAAGAAAACATAATATATCCGGAATGACACACGAGGAATTATGCAAATCGTAAAGACATATAAAATAAGTCATAATTATAGTTCGCATGAACGATGGCTTTTAAAATCGTCGATTAAAAATACAAAGAGAACAGGAAAGCAGAGGTGGTATTTACGTCACGTGACAGTCACGTTGCGTGCTGTCAAAATGGCAGGTGAACATGAACGTAAGCCTTTATTGAGTGATGACGAAGGGGGAATAGAATACGATGAATATAGCATCAGCAAGAGCAAAACGAAACATGTAAGTATTTTAACGTGAGCTGTTTAATGGTTAATTAATACATGTATTGTGCTTGCAGTGTGGCATAACATCCAACATTGTCACCAAATGCAAGGCAACAGCACCGTTATTGATTTTGACAAGTTCATGTATTGAAAAAAATTATCATATTGCTTATTCAATTTAGTGCATTTTAGTGCATTGAAAGAGATCATATCTTAAAATAACTCTTCTGTCAACAATATGTACTAGATATCTCTCACGTCTATATGAGAAAGATTAAGTGCAAAACATACCAATTTCGTTTTGAGGTTTCAGTTATCATAGAAATGAAGAACTAAAAAATAATAATAATAATAATAATAATTGATTTGTAAAGCGCCTAATATCCATCGACAGTTGCTCACTGGTGCTGTGACAAGGTTAAAATGTAATGTCTATGTACATATGCCAACAATAAGGAGATCTATTGAAAAGCTGAGGTGAAGAAGTGGCTTTTGAGGAGAGACTTAAACGTTTCCTTAGAAGCAGAGTTTCTCAGATTTTATACTAGAAAAATACTAGAAATAAATGCTTATTGCTGGAATGATTTAGTTCCATGAAACACAATGTTGCCTTCACTGTGTGTGTCTTTTTAACTGTGTTAACTGGACATGGTGCATGCTACGAAATGATTAACTTAATCAAGAAAACATAATATGTGTCACAACTAGGCCTATATGTGAATAGAAAAAACAACAACATTTGTACGGATACTATTGTCCATGTAACCCAAGGCCATTGTTAATAAAGGATGCATGTGACCTCATTAATGGAACATGCAGTTATCTTTTCTGATAGGGGCTGTACATTCTTTCCAAAGGACAACGGATGACACAGTTATTACTCAATGAAGGACATCAGTTATCTATGTATGCAGAGAGCACATTAGAGAAACACTAGTTTTATCAATTGGGTCCCTCATTCTATATGTGCAGGCACAGGGCCACGGATAGCCATACTATACTGACTGTACTGATTACATTAAAAAAATGTAATCAGTACAGTCAGTATAGTATGGCTATCCTAGGCCCTGTGTGTGTAGGTAACAGATTAGTGCAACCCAACACCCCCGCCCCCCCAATCTGTCAGTTATACATTGGACAAAAATCAGAAGCTTTGATTTTCATCCTAAAGTTTAACACTTCTAACCTTTCATGTATTTCAGGAGTTGACTAGTTTATGTTTTCTTGCTAAATATGATCCTTCTTTCTTGTCATCAGTGGTCCCTTCCTTTTTTGTCAACATGAGTGAACAATGTCAGTGTATCATTCAGGCACCGGAAACTTATGTAATCCATGCCATTATGATGTTAAACTTGCCATCAACATCAAAATACAAGGAATTGTGTACCCTTGTAATGCTGTTATTAAGTAAGGTTTATATTTTGTTTTGAGATAGGCAGTAAGTTAATGTTGGATTGCGTCAGGTCGGGTTATTCAAAGTCTCTGTATATTTAAGGTATGTAATATACCCGAAATGTTGAAAAATCAGTAATAATTTAAACATAAGAAAAAATACAACTTTGTGGATAACAACTTCTGGTTTATTGCATATGGCGATGTTTGATGTAGATCGAGCTTGTCAAGAGGACCATCTCCACCATACTCCAGCCCAAACCAAACGGAGCAGAATCCGTCCCCATCACTATCCCCCTACCCTACATTGGCAAGACTTCTCATGAAATCAGCAGATTACTTTAGCACCAAGCAGGCATCCATACCATCTTTACTGGTTACCCCATCACTTAGAACCATTCTCAAACTAATGGCCACAGGGGCGGTCGGGTAGCCTAGTGGTTAAAGCGTTCGCTTGTCACGCCGAAGACCCGGGTTCGAATCCCGACATGGGTACAATGTGTGAAGCCCATTTCTGGTGTCCCCAGCCGTGATATTGCTGGAATATTGCTAAAAGCGGCGTAAAATCAAACTCACTCACTCACTCACTCACTAATGGCCACAACCCCAACTCCAACAAACAACCCCCAAAAGGAGTAATCTATAACTATAAGATTTATTGTAACTGTGGTGACTCGTACATTGGTGAAACCTCTCATCCGCATCAAAGAACATATGCCTCCAATAGCCAAAGCAGACCGCAAATCAGCCATCTCAGACCACCAACAATTCACTACCCATCAAATTCAGTTCGCCAAAGTTGTTATCCATAAAGTTGTACATTTACTTACTTACTCACCAACTTCGAGAATGCCAATCAAACAGTTGAATAAAACATGTTTAAACTTGTTTGTTTGTTGTTTAACGTCGCACTCAGCAATATTCCAGCTATATCATGGTGGTCTGTAAGCAATAAAATCTGGGCCTGAAAGGACAGTGAGTTGACATCACGAGCAGCGATCTACACAATTGGTATTCGGTGACATGCATCAGCCAAATCAGCAACCATCCAATCACTTTAGCACTTTAGCATGGGTTGTTGAAGACCAATTCTAGCCCTGATCTGACCGCCTCCGTGGTCTTGTGGTAGAGCGTCCGCCTGGAGAGCAGAAGGTCCAGGGTTCGATCCCGGGCCGCGTCATACAAAAAGACGTTAAAAGATTGTACTTGTTGTTACCCTGTCTGGCGCTCGGCATTAAGGGGCTAAAACAAGGACTGGTCGGCTCGGAGTCAGTATACTGTGTCTGAGTGGGGTATTCATGTTAAACTGCGGCATGGTATCTCAGTGAGCTAGCACTATAAATCGGCATCAGTCCGGACTAGTACAAGCAGCCACACACACACATACACGTGCATGCACGTTGCTATATAAGTGCAATAATCTTGGACGCGACGTTAAACCCAATTTCACCTCACCTCACCTAGCCCTGATCTTCACGGGTGAATAGGCAATAATATTTGTTTTTTGTTGTTTAACACGGCACTCAGCAATATTCCAGCTTTATGATGGAATAGGCAATAACAGGTGATTCTAGGCATATGTGTGTCATATTGCCAAATGCACTTTTTATTCCTAATATATGATACTTACCACACATAAGACACACAAGGATAATAATCTCTTTATCATATAATGTCTTTCTTAAAATTTGTTTGGGATTTATTGCTATTCATGATAGTAATTTTAAAAAAGCAAAGGAACATATAGCCTGAATTAACTGCCCCATTTATAATATATATAAATCATTTACAGGCATGTTTTTATTAGCACTTTGGGAAACCATTTTTGAATCATTTGCTAAAATACAACACAACATTAAGATTGTGGATCATATTATCATGATGCATTGATATGATTTGTAAACTGTAATACATGTACCTCTAATACAAACCAGATTTCATGGTCATAAGAATATCTAAATAAGTTTTGTGTTATTAAAATATTATTTGATCAGACTGAAAAAAATAGGCCGGAGAAACAAAATGCCATACAGTGCACCTGACCTAGTTTTTTATCTTGTCACTTCGATAAATAGATCAGTTATGCATATACTGATATCAATTCTAGTTTACTGCAAGAATCAACATTGTTCCTATCTTCATGATAATTCTGTTATCTGGTTAACGGCAGTGTTATCTTCACCATGTAAGGGCATGTTACTGCATTGAATGTGGGAGTGTATTAATTATAGCTGTGTGGTCTTTTGTTTGCTGGTTCAGCTTATTCAGCTGCATTCTGTTATATTCACTTCTCAGAAAAAATAACTAAGCCCAGGTTTTACTGAAGAAAAATGACACAATGTCCAAAGAATGCTGATAGTTATTTTTATTTGTTTAAAAAAAATATAATTCTGACATTAGTTTGGAAAATACTCAATATTTTTTGGTCAATCAGAGGTATCAAATCACAATTAACCCCTTCTTATTGAAACAGCTGGTTTTACGGCCACTTTACAGTGTAAGATATGCACCTGCACTTTGTGCATGCCCATAAATATGGCAAAGCTCGGAAATTATGTATCAATGAGATCTTTTGATATAGGGAGTTCCTTGAACCTGCAAATGAATGGAGTGATGAATTTGACCTTCTACTATCCAGTCTTGACAATTCTGGTAATTATTAAAACAAACATCTTCAAAAATGCAGTTTGAAAAATTCAGCCGCACAAACACATAGAAGACATTTGTCGTCTGCTTCGCTTTGTCGGGAGTAGTTAATGGTCGAGTGCATTATGACTGAAGGGTGGATGGGTATATTCAAATTCTGTTTGAAGTTCTCAGGGAAATTTCCCAATGAGATAGTATTTGAAATTTGAACATAAGATAGAGTAATTTTAATAAACAGAAACATTGTTATACATGTTTGTTTTCTGTTATTAATTGTATGTTGCCATTATATGGAGCCTTCCACCCCTATGTGAAAGTGAACCCATCTTTTCGTATATGAAGTGTCCTGCTCACTCAACCAAATGTTACACCTCAAAGAGTTCCAACTTTAATCAGTCATGGTAGAATGGAGATAAACCTACTGTGTTTTCAATGTAGAACTAGGTTACCTGTAGATTTAAACACGCTAAATTTAACATTTGAAACCTCATGCTACGGGGGGTGTCAAATTCAATTTAGCATGTTTAAATCTACAGGTAATCTAGCTCTACATTGAACACACAGTATGTATATCTCTGAAGTTATCACCTGTTTAAGTTGGAAAAAATGATTCAGCTCGTAAGCATTAAGAAAAATCAAATGGTTGGTCCTTAAGTCAAGGAGCTAGGACATATTTGTACATTTGATGACAAAGGATTATTCTATCCAATGAGGACCCAGGTTTGATAGCTCGGTCACCAGTAACCAATGCTTGTTGGAAAGGTGACGAAATTGATCGGATACCCACAGGGCTTTGCTCATGGTATCAATGGTTGTGAGTGAGTGAGTGAGTGAGTGAGTGAGTGAGTGAGTGAGTGAGTGAGGTTTAACATCGCTTTTAACAGTATTCCAGTCATATCGCAGCGTGTCAGCTTAATGTGGGAGGAAAGCCCAAAGTGATGCATGTCTCAGACGTTTACCACTTTGGTGAAACACACGAGCACGGGTATGGTGCTGACAAACCTAGAAACATAATTGGGGCGAACCGGGATTCAAACCCACAACGGAACTCTGCACAGCGAATCGCAGCGCCTTAGACGACTGGGCCACCCATGCCCCCAAATAGTTGTGTTTTCTTGTTCAGACTTAATTAATTACAGGCCCCTATGATATAGCAAGAATATTGATGACTGAGGCAGCACATTTGATTACCAGTTCAATTTTACATGGGTAAATCTACTGGTAAGCTCGTGCTAAATTGAAATACACTGGGTTGATCTCCCGAGAAATATCATTTCATGGAGAAGATTGGTGAAGTGTTCCTGATTCATGTGTTGAGAGAGGATGATGTTCTGTGTTGTAGGGTTTCAACAGCCATCTGGCCCTCGGCATCGCAGCCATCACCTTGGGCTCCTCCTTCCAGTTTGGCTACAATACAGGTGTCGTTAATTCTCCAGAACAGGTACGGAGCTTAATCATAAGGTAGATTATGTGTAAACTATAAGATTGCAAAGCTTGCACAGAAATAAAAATAATGAAAGAAAATTATTTTTTTTACAGCAAATCACTGAGCTTTAAAAATAATTGTTGTTCAGAATTGAATCCAGAGTTTTGAAAAAAGAAGTGCACATCTGAAAAATAGGGTGGGCACCCATTGCATCTGGAACTGCCAGTGATATTTTTTACAAAGGACGTAAATTGTGTTTTGCCATTTCAAACAAATGGTTATTCAATTTTTATTATGTCATTAGTCCTCAGTTTTTACAGAAAAATTTGATTTTTTTTATGGTCCTATCAGTTATCAAAGCATTTTTCTCAGAAAATACTAGTGGTTTGTGTCAGTTTGTAGGTTTGTCTTGGCCTAAGTTAAACACTGCTTACAATGTTTCTAGATCTTGAAGATGATTATTACCTTAAATAGAACACCAGTTTTGCTTTTCTCAGATCATTCAGGATTTCTACAATAAGACCTACTTTGATCGGAATGGGGAATACATGAAGCCGTCGATGAAGACACTGTTGTGGTCCATCACTGTTGCCATGTATGCTGTTGGTGGCATGATTGGGGGTGTCAGTGCCGGATTCTGGGCCAACAGATATGGCAGGTTTGTAGATCTAGGCTCCATTCTCAAAAAATGATCTTGGCGCTGAGACGATTGCAACTCTAGTCCCATACCTTAACCTAGACTTATGGCGTACTGCTAAGATTGTTTTGTGGAACTGGGCCCTGGATTTATTTTAGTCCTTATGACAATGTTAACTCTTAGATCAGTGTTCATTACAATCTGTCAAGAATTTTGGCCCATTGAAGACATCAGTAATAGAATATCAGTAGATCACTAACCGTTTTTAAAAAAACTACCATATTTTCTTGAGTTTAGTGACGACTTTTTTTCCCCAAAACACAGCTGTGTAGAAGGAGGTGCGCATTATACACGAATTATGAGTTTTGATCTTTTTAATATTCAAATTTCTTTTTTTCCAAAATATTGAATCCGCTAGAGGGGGTGCGCATTATACATGGGTGCGCACTATACGCAAGAAAATATGGTAGCATTTTTTTGTTACACATCTGCCTATTGCAACAGCTTTCATGTCAAAGAAAAACACTAACCAAGTTTGTTACATCAGCATGATACTTGTGAAGATCCAGGTCAGAACAGGTCTTCAGCAACCCATGCTTGACCTAAAAGGTGACTAGGCTTGTCTTCGGAGGCAACTCCTGGAATCGGGTGGTCAGCCTCGCTGACATGGTTGATGCTTGTCATCATATCCCAATTGCGTGGATCGAGATGTGGGACAACCGAACAAACAAATTCTGGATGGATTAAGTTTATTCATTTCTAGGCCAACCTAGTCAGTGAAATGTGAAATGGAATGTGATATATTCAGAAATATTTATTTTATTTCACTCACACAGACTATTTCAATGGACAAAACAAACAAATCGTATCGCACTCATAGCATCAGGATGTGAGGTGAGGTGAAATTGGGTTTAACGTCGCGTCCAAGATTATTGCACTTATATAGCGACGTGCATGCACGTGTATGTGTGTGTGTGGCTGCTTGTACTAGTCCGGACTGATGCCGATTTATAGTGCTAGCTCACTGAGATACCATGCCGCAGTTTAACATGAATACCCCACTCAGACACAGTATACTGACTCCGAGCCGACCAGTCCTTGTTTTAGCCCCTTAATGCCGAGCGCCAGACAGGGTAACAACAAGTACAATCTTTTAACGTCTTTTTGTATGACGCGGCCCGGGATCGAACCCTGGACCTTCCGCTCTCCGGGCGGACGCTCTACCACTAGACCACGGAGGCGGCCCCATCAGGATGTGTATTGTATCACGCCCCCACCGTATCATTCCACCTCAAGGTTGGCTGGCTGGTTGTTTAACACCGCACTCAGCAATATTCCAGCAATATGACGGCGGTCTGTAAATAATCCAATCTCGGCCAGACAATCCAGTGATTGATATCATGAGCATCGATCCACCCAGTTGAGATCGAAGACGTGCATCAACCAAGTCAGCGAGCCTGACCACCCGATCCCGTTAGTCGCCTCTTACGACAAGCATAGTCGCCTTTTACGGCATGCATGGGTTGCTGAAGACCTATTCTACCCCGGCTCTTCAGGGGTCTTACACCTCAAGGGACCACCTTGACAAGCAAATTCTGGATTGATCAAGTAAATTCTTGAGTGTTTCTATGGAGAATTGATAGTGTACTGCATGATCAATTATGTCAGTCAGTGTGTGACATATTGAGTATTTTGATTCCAATCAGGAAAGGAGCTCTGCTGAGGAACAACGTTATTGCTGTGATAGCTGGTGGACTTCTTGGTTTCTCCAAGATGGCCAAGTCCTACGAGATGCTGATAGCGGGTCGAGTTGTCTCTGGATTAAATGCAGGTAGAGTGCAACTCACCGATTGGTTTGAGACAGTAACTGGCAAATATTCCTCGTGAACTTGACTGAGGTTTATGCGGTCAGTTAGATGCAGTTGTATCAGTTAGATGCAGTTGTATCAGTTAGATGGTGATCTCCTTGTTGTGACAATGTACTTATCAGGCTTCCCTTTAGGGACAGGTATGATAAATATTTCAAGACTTTTAAGTTTGTTTAAATATCCCCTTACCCTAAATATAGACAATTTTACATGTCCAAGTTTTATGTTGTCCAGCTGATAATGTTGTTTTCTCGTTATTGTAGGAATCCATGTACTTGTCTGATGTTGTGTTTTCTAGCTGATAGTGTTGTGATCTTGTATCATTGTAGGAATCCATGGACCTGTCTGATGTTGTGTTGTCTAGCTGATAGTGTTGTGTTCTTGTATCATTGTAGGAATCCATGGACCTGTCTGATGTTGTGTTGTCTGGCTGATAGTGTTGTGTTCTCGTTATTGTAGGAATCCATGTACCTGTCTGATGTTGTGTTGTCTGGCTGATAGTATTGTGTTCTTGTATCATTGTAGGAATCCATGGACCTGTCTGATGTTGTGTTGTCTAGCTGATAGTGTTGTGTTCTTGTATCATTGTAGGAATCCATGTACCTGTCTGATGTTGTGTTGTCTAGCTGATAGTGTTGTATTCTTGTATCATTGTAGGAATCCATGGACTTGTCTGATGTTGTGTTTTCTAGCTGATAGTGTTGTGATCTTGTATCATTGTAGGAATCCATGGACCTGTCTGATGTTGTGTTGTCTAGCTGATAGTGTTGTGTTCTTGTATCATTGTAGGAATCCATGGACCTGTCTGATGTTGTGTTGTCTGGCTGATAGTGTTGTGTTCTCGTTATTGTAGGAATCCATGTACCTGTCTGATGTTGTGTTGTCTGGCTGATAGTATTGTGTTCTTGTATCATTGTAGGAATCCATGGACCTGACTGATGTTGTGTTGTCTAGCTGATAGTGTTGTGATCTTGTATCATTGTAGGAATCCATGGACCTGTCTGATGTTGTGTTGTCTAGCTGATAGTGTTGTGATCTTGTATCATTGTAGGAATCCATGGACCTGTCTGATGTTGTGTTGTCTAGCTGATAGTGTTGTGTTCTTGTATCATTGTAGGAATCCATGGACCTGTCTGATGTTGTGTTGTCTGGCTGATAGTGTTGTGTTCTCGTTATTGTAGGAATCCATGTACCTGTCTGATGTTGTGTTGTCTGGCTGATAGTATTGTGTTCTTGTATCATTGTAGGAATCCATGGACCTGTCTGATGTTGTGTTGTCTAGCTGATAGTGTTGTGTTCTTGTATCATTGTAGGAATCCATGTACCTGTCTGATGTTGTGTTGTCTAGCTGATAGTGTTGTATTCTTGTATCATTGTAGGAATCCATGTACTTGTCTGATGTTGTGTTGTCTAGCTGATAGTGTTGTGTTCTTGTATCATTGTAGGAATCCATGTACCTGTCTGATGTTGTGTTGTCTGGCTGATAGTGTTGTGTTCTTGTATCATTGTAGGAATCCATGTACCTGTCTGATGTTGTGTTGTATCACTGATAGTGTTGTGTTCTTGTACCATTGTAGGAATCCATGGACCTGTCTGATGTTGTGTTGTATTGCTGATAGTGTTGTGTTCTTGTACCATTGTAGGAATCCATGTACCTGTCTGATGTTGTGTTGATTAGCTGATAGTGTTGTGTTCTTGTACCATTGTAGGAATCCATGGACCTGTCTGATGTTGTGTTGTATTGCTGATAATGTTGTGTTCTTGTATCATTGTAGGAATCCATGGACCTGTCTGATGTTGTGTTGTATTGCTGATAGTGTTGTGTTCTTGTACCATTGTAGGAATCCGTGGACCTGTCTGATGTTGTGTTGTATTGCTGATAGTGTTGTGTTCTTGTATCATTGTAGGAATCCATGGACCTGTCTGATGTTGTGTTGTCTGGCTGATAATGTTGTGTTGTCATTATTGTAGGAATCTATGTACTTGTCTGATGTTGTGTTGTCTGGCTGATAGTGTTGTATTCTTGTATCATTGTAGGAATCCATGGACCTGTCTGATGTTGTGTTGTATTGCTGATAGTGTTGTGTTCTTGTACCATTGTAAGAATCCATGGACCTGTCTGATGTTGTGTTGTCAAGCTGATAATGTTGTGTTGTCATTATTGTACCTCTATGTACTTTTCTGATGTTGTGTTGTCTGGCTGATAGTGTTGTGTTCTTGTATCATTGTAGGAATCCATGGACCTGTCTGATGTTGTGTTTTCTATCTGATAGTGTTGTGTTCTTGTACCATTGTAGGAATCCATGGACCTGTCTGATGTTGTGTTTTCTATCTGATAGTGTTGTGTTCTTGTATCATTGTAGGAATCTATGTACTTGTCTGATGTTGTGTTGTATCGCTGATAGTGTTGTGTTCTTGTATCATTGTAGGAATCCATGTACCTGTCTGATGTTGTGTTGTCTAGCTGATAGTGTTGTATTCTTGTATCATTGTAGGAATCCATGTACTTGTCTGATGTTGTGTTGTCTAGCTGATAGTGTTGTGTTCTTGTATCATTGTAGGAATCCATGGACCTGTCTGATGTTGTGTTGTCTGGCTGATAGTGTTGTGTTCTTGTATCATTGTAGGAATCCATGTACCTGTCTGATGTTGTGTTGTATCACTGATAGTGTTGTGTTCTTGTACCATTGTAGGAATCCATGGACCTGTCTGATGTTGTGTTGTATTGCTGATAGTGTTGTGTTCTTGTACCATTGTAGGAATCCATGTACCTGTCTGATGTTGTGTTGATTAGCTGATAGTGTTGTGTTCTTGTACCATTGTAGGAATCCATGGACCTGTCTGATGTTGTGTTGTATTGCTGATAATGTTGTGTTCTTGTATCATTGTAGGAATCCATGGACCTGTCTGATGTTGTGTTGTATTGCTGATAGTGTTGTGTTCTTGTACCATTGTAGGAATCCGTGGACCTGTCTGATGTTGTGTTGTATTGCTGATAGTGTTGTGTTCTTGTATCATTGTAGGAATCCATGGACCTGTCTGATGTTGTGTTGTCTGGCTGATAATGTTGTGTTGTCATTATTGTAGGAATCTATGTACTTGTCTGATGTTGTGTTGTCTGGCTGATAGTGTTGTATTCTTGTATCATTGTAGGAATCCATGGACCTGTCTGATGTTGTGTTGTATTGCTGATAGTGTTGTGTTCTTGTACCATTGTAGGAATTCATGGACCTGTCTGATGTTGTGTTGTCAAGCTGATAATGTTGTGTTGTCATTATTGTAGGAATCTATGTACTTGTCTGATGTTGTGTTGTCTGGCTGATAGTGTTGTATTCTTGTATCATTGTAGGAATCCATGGACCTGTCTGATGTTGTGTTGTATTGCTGATAGTGTTGTGTTCTTGTACCATTGTAAGAATCCATGGACCTGTCTGATGTTGTGTTGTCAAGCTGATAATGTTGTGTTGTCATTATTGTAGGAATCTATGTACTTTTCTGATGTTGTGTTGTCTGGCTGATAGTGTTGTGTTCTTGTATCATTGTAGGAATCCATGGACCTGTCTGATGTTGTGTTTTCTATCTGATAGTGTTGTGTTCTTGTACCATTGTAGGAATCCATGGACCTGTCTGATGTTGTGTTTTCTATCTGATAGTGTTGTGTTCTTGTATCATTGTAGGAATCTATGTACTTGTCTGATGTTGTGTTGTATCGCTGATAGTGTTGTGTTCTTGTATCATTGTAGGAATCCATGGACCTGTCTGATGTTGTGTTGTATTGCTGATAGTGTTGTGTTCTTGTATCATTGTAGGAATCCATGGACCTGTCTGATGTTGTGTTGTATCGCTGATAGTGTTGTGTTCTTGTACCATTGTAGGAATCCATGGACCTGTCTGATGTTGTGTCGTCTTGCTGATAGTGTTGTGTTCTTGTATCATTGTAGGAATCCATGGACCTGTCTGATGTTGTGTTGTCTGGCTGATAGTGTTGTATTCTTGTATCATTGTAGGAATCCATGGACCTGTCTGATGTTGTGTTGTATTGCTGATAGTGTTGTGTTCTTGTACCATTGTAGGAATCCATGGACCTGTCTGATGTTGTGTTGTCAAGCTGATAATGTTGTGTTGTCATTATTGTAGGAATCTATGTACTTGTCTGATGTTGTGTTGTCTGGCTGATAGTGTTGTATTCTTGTACCATTGTAGGAATCCATGGACCTGTCTGATGTTGTGTTGTCTATCTGATAGTGTTGTGTTCTTGTACCATTGTAGGAATCCATGGACCTGTCTGATGTTGTGTTGTCTGGCTGATAGTGTTGTATTCTTGTATCATTGTAGGAATCCATGGACCTGTCTGATGTTGTGTTGTCTATCTGATAGTGTTGTGTTCTTGTACCATTGTAGGAATCCATGTACCTGTCTGATGTTGTGTTGTCAAGCTGATAATGTTGTGTTCTTGTATCATTGTAGGAATCAACACTGGCATTGTCCCCATGTACCTGTCAGAGATTGCCCCAATCTCCCTGCGTGGGCTGGCAGGCACGTTCAACCAGCTGGCCATCACAACCGGAGTGTTTGTGTCTCAGCTGCTGGGCCTGGAGTTCATCCTGGGCACAGACACACTGTGGCCGATATGTCTAGGTGCGAGATTATTGTCATTCCATCATTCACATCAGCAGTCCACTACCAATTCCGTCAATATCTTTATTAATGTTTGTGTTTAATTTTACCATGGTAGAATGAAATGAACATACTGCATTATGAAGAGCTGTGTTACTTGTTGATTTGACATTGCTAATTTAAACATTTGAAACCTCACATTACTCTTTGGTCGCATAAATGTACATGGAAAACACCTTTCTCACTCACTCTAAATTTGACAAAACATAAAGCCAGCCATTTATCATTAGTGGCAGATGTCAACCATTGAGTAACAGATGTCAACCATTACCGTATTCGACGTAATAAGCGCCCCGCTCTAATAAGCGCCCACGGCAATATTTGCTAATATATTGGCTAGTGAACAATCCCAATAAGCACCTCTTCCAATTGATCAATGTACACTAGACTTATTTATTCGCGTATAATACGCACTCGTGTGTTATATGCACCCTTAATTATGAGCAATTAAATTCTGGTAAAATATATCTGTCGTACATAAACATTTCAGGCTGTCAGCATAAACCACGAAATTTATGTTTCAACTCTGTTTTATTTTCACCAAAATGATGTTCTAATAAGAGCCCCCTATTTCTAATTTTGAGAGCGCCCTGGGCGCTTATTACGTCGAATACGGTATGTCCCTTGTAGGGATTCTGGGGTTGGAATCAGTCCTCTACTTACTTTCAACTTGATAGTAGCTGTCTGTGGCTTTATACAACAATACAAACAAACTTGCTTCTGGTGATAATACATCTACCTGAGTCGTGAGGCCGATATCAAAGCCTAGTTTTCACCCTTGCAATTTAAAGCCAACTTTTCTGTGCTAAAATATGAGAGGACTATCCAACATATATTGCAATCAACTCGCCTAAGTACTTTCATATATTTGAGTGCAAACTTCATTTATTTTAGCTTGAATGACTGAACGCTTATCACAGTGACTGAGATGCAGTGCTATTTTTAGACGAACCCTGCTGAGGGTTTCATGTCACGCAATGTGCAGTGGTACTTCATCCTGTGTCGTGTGTAGGCCCCTATTATTATGAGAGCAAAATGTGAAAGCAATAAGTTTCTTTACCTTAGTAATCTGTCATTTATCCGTCGGGGATGAAGTCTTGAATCGTTTGCTATCTGACTTATATGATCGACCTGGTGATCTGCCCTTGGAGTCATTTTTGTGAAGCGATTCGAAATAAGAACATCGATCTGATTGGATATCACGTTTTCATCACAAGGGACACAATTTGTGTTCTACACAGGGTGGTGCCACGATCGAGCCGAGAAAAGTAAGCTTTAAATGGCAAGGGTGGAAACTAAGCTTTGATGAAGGCCAGTGGTTACTCTTGCCTCAGGAAGATTGTGATAATAAGAGTAACAGCATGAGAGAGAGGAGCAAGATTGAGAAGCAGATGTCAACTTGTTTGTTTCAGCGCTGACCTGTGGGCCTGTCGTGTTCCAGCTGCTGACTCTGACCTGCTGCCCCGAGAGTCCTCGCTTCCTGATGCTGGCACAGGGGGATGAGGAGGGCGCCAAGGAGGGTCAGTGCCAGGACTCAATCTCAGTCAAATCTGTGTGGGTTCGAATCCCAGATGGGACTTGACCAAAAAAAGTATCAGAATCTGTACTTGACTAAGAAAGTGTTATCCCAAATATAACATTTGTTACATTTGACCGCTTTCTTAATTGCATTATGTATTAATTAAAATCAGAGTTTTTTACTCGAATATCATGTCTCTCTGTGCAAACATCTAAGAACACCTCCATAGGAGTTTGCGTCAGATGAACTTTCAGATAACCAATCAGCATCGAGGCTTCCAAATTCTAAGTATGAGCAAGCTAAACATTCAGCCAAACATATCTCATTTTTTTATCTTGAAAACGAATATAATCAGAAAGTTCGAATGAAAGAGCATGCTGTTATATTGTTTTTGATATCTATAGACCTGCGTTCTAAGACCTGTGAATATCCGTCAACCCATGCTTGCCATAAAAGGCGACTATGCTTGTCGTAAGAGGCAACTCACAGGATCGGGTGGTCAGGCTCGCTTACTTGGTTGATGCATGTCAATTATGTTGTATATTTGTTTAGAGTGTTTATTGCTATAATATTGTTAGTAATTGATGAAGAAAAGATGAATTAAAGGTTATCCTTCTGAAATCATGTTCTCTTGAAGGCAACAACAGGCATATGTTGATGGTGAAATGTTATATTGTCACTGACGTTGTTGTTCACAGCGCTGATGTGGCTGAGGAAGTCTCACGATGTAGAGGATGAGATTGAAGAGATGAATGTGGAAAAAGATGACGAAAAGAAACATGCAAAAGTAATTATATGTACCGATTATAACATGCCATTTCAGTAGGTGCTGTTGAATACATGACAGGGTCCCATTCCGTAAAATGATCTTAGTGCTAAGACACACTTTTATTGTTGTGCTAGATCGCATTGTGGAATGAGGACACCTCCTTGGTCTTGTGGATAGAGTGCCTTCCCAGAGAGTTGAAGATTGCTGGTTCGATCCTTAGCCACGTCGTGCAAAACGATATAATAACTTGTTACTTGTGGTTAACCTGCCTGGTGCTCGGCATTAAGGGGATAAAACAAGGACTGGACGGCTCAGAGTCAGTGTGTCTAAGTGGGGTGTCCATGTTAATCTGCAGCATGGTCAGAGATTTATCAAGACTTTCTCAGGGGCCAATATTGGCCCAAAATGCCAGTAAAAATTCCCAATTTGGATTAAAAATTTCACTTTCCAAAAATCCACTTTTGAACAATATCACAATATTTTTGCCAATTTGTGCCAGCCACAGGCACAATTAGTTTGGGATCCTTACCTTGCTTTGTTGAAGGTTAAACATGTTAACTTTATGCTTTGATAACTGTGATGAGTTGTGTTAAAAGTTTGCTATCTTCATGTCATATATGAAATGAAGTAATTATCTTGTCAATGACTGTCAAAAATTGATTTGGTTATTTGGCCTGTTTTTCCCTTTAAAAAATGAACCCATTTTATTAAAGCAGTGAATGCATTTAGTAGAAATGCAGAACAAGTATACAAATGTAAAAAATATTTAGATTTTACTGAATATATTAAGTTTATTAAGTTCATTATAGGATCATGTGTATTTTTCAGTTCGAGATATCACATCTGTTTCTCCACAACGAACTCCGCATCCCTCTTATCATCAGTGTGGTCCTACAGTTGACACAGCAGTTCTCCGGAATTAATGCTGTAAGGAGTTTCCCAGATTTTGTACTCATATTTGTTTACTTACTCAGTAGCAATTTTAGTTTTCTGATCCATTTCTCTGTATTTCTTCCGATGTCATTTAGCAATGTCTAATCAGAAAGTAACAAACTGGCTGTGAGGAGTCACTGGTATATATATTATTTATCCTCGTGCAAGATAAATTGTATGGAAGGTGTCATGATTGATCAAAATATTGAGGCACTGAAATTATCTGCAGGTGGATGGCTAAACATGGAGGACAAGTTATATTATCAGTGGTTGACATCAGCACCATGATATGGGAAATTCTGAGAAATTTATTTGGGGCTGTCTGGCAAATTACTAGGAGCTATTTTGTACCATTTCCTGATTGTGGCTCTGGTCTGGTCTGGAATTAATAAAATATAAAAGCTATTCTGAAAACTAGGCTTAAAGAAAGAAAAGAATTGGTTCTCAGGCAATGACTTTTGAAAATATAGTGTGGGTGGGTGGGTGGTGGTTTTTTTTTTGTTTTGCTTGTTTAAACTAGTATGTAACCAAATATACAGTTGTGTACCATAACTAGGAAATTGCCTCTTTGCATAAACAAGCATACAAACTCCTATTTCCTGCATGACCATAACACAAAATGAGCAGAAAAGCAGTGCGCATGTAAAGGGAGGTAACTGTGTGCTATATTTGATCGCATTGTTTTTAAGTATAAGGTTTTTGTTTTGTAATTTAAAATGGAAATAAACATGAAACATGAGGGAGACTTTATGATGATGCGGGCTGTGCCTGAGAAGCAAGTCTATTATTTTTTTTGGCCCTATATATATTTCATTTTGTCTTTGAAAGGCATTTAGAAGTGAAACACATACGGAAGAGAATATATGGATGTCAGCTTGTTTATTATGAGGAACACAACGTTTCGGAGTATCTGCTTATTCCTTCATCAGGTGAATGATGAAAAATGATCCACCTGATGAAGGAGTAAGCATATACATGTACTCCGAAACATTGTGTTTCTCATAAGAAAGAGAGGGGCGGTCGGGTAGCCTAGTGGTTAAAGCGTTCGCTCATCACGCCGAAGACCCGGGTTCAATTCCCGACGTGGGTACAATGTGTGAAGCCCATTTCTGGTGTCCCCCGCTGTGATATTGCTGGAATATTGCTAAAAGCGGCGTAAAACCATACTCACTCATAAGAAAGAAGTTGACCTCCATATATTCTCAACCTTCCCTCTATATTATGCCACCTAATCTGGCCACATTCATCCCTGTGTGTTGTGTTTCATCTGCAGGTGATCTACTACTCCACCAGTATATATGAGTCAGCTGATTTGTCAGAGCGGAACTCCCAGTTTGCTACCCTGGGATCAGCAATAGTCAATGTGTTGATGACATTTGTGTCGGCTCTGATCATCGATAGGGCTGGCCGGCGCATCCTCCTTCTGACAGGCCTGGGAGGGATGTTTGTGTTCACCGTTATCCTCACTGTGGCGCTTGTGTTTCAGGTGAGGTGTCTTGCAACAGGGCATTTGGGTAGCTTTGCTCATCTTGGTGAAGAATCAGTTTTGACTGCAGCAAAGGCACAAATATAACGTTCATTCTTGATGTCCCTTACATTGATATTTTTGCAGTATCTCTCTCTCTCTCCCTCTCTTTTTTTTCTTACAATGGATGGAACAGTCAAGTCTCGTTAGTCCAACACAGGTTAATCCGACAATCGGCTTTATTAGACACTCGTGATGGGAACAGATTAAAACAGTGCTATTTAGGCCTTGTTAATCCGACAGTCTCTCACTCTGACTCCGACACACCTAATTTGCAACTAAATACCGAAATCACTCATAAATCAGTCTCGTTAATCCAAAACAGTGATTAGCATACTCCGTGGTCATCTGCCCGCGAGTACACACCCCGTGTTTTGATGCGATATGAGTCGGCTGATGGCTGCATATTACAACGGCTGCAGAGATAAACTTGCTTCGCAATAAACAATTAATGTTTTAAATAAAGAAAACAGGATTAATCTCATGCTTAGATTACCTCAATCTGGCCAGATACAAGTTTTTGCTGTCGCCGAGGACATCCTGATTTTCTATCACAAACTTTGTCGGATAAACGTAATTAAGTTGTATCATACTTGTTAATTCGACATAATCATATGCAACCAACCATGTCGGATTAACGGGACTTGTATGTAATTGAGTGTGGAATTCCAGAAATAATAACACACTTTCCTCTTGTGTTTTTCCGTAATCTAACTGATAGTCAGTTCGAATGAAAGATTTGGGATGGTTTATCAGCACTAAACCTACTCATGGACTTCACTCCAGCCTGAAGTACTGCAGGCTTTTCTCCCAGACCATGCTGACATGCTGACATGCTGTGACGTACTTGAAATACTGTTGAAATCAGCCATGACCTGTTCTCACTCACTGCTGTTTTTTTCATGAGAGTCTAGCATGAAGGCCATTGTGTTGTTTTCAGCATCAAGTGTCGTGGCTGTCCTACCTGTGTATCGTGGCGGTCATCTGCTACATCATCTTCTTCGCTGTCGGACCAGGTACAGTGTGCTTAGAGAGACGACTCACTGACACAATAAACATTTGGTTCATGTATCTGAATAATAGTATTCCCTGTTCTTTTAATGTAATAATGTTCATTTAATTACTACTATATCTGAAATATCAAAATAGGACAAGCAAATGTACCAGTAATCTATTCCCTTTGTTGACACATAATTTCTGGTATGCATGCTGGCTGTATTGTTCACCCATGCGCACCCTACTCATCGTGAAATGGCTGAAATAATGCTGATGCGGCGTTCAATTTTAACTCACTCACTCTGAAAAAAACAGTGTGTGCTATACTCAAGAAAGTCGGTGTGCTTGTGTTGAATTGTCTCCTCCCACTGAGGTCCCTGCTTGATTTCTTACACTTGTAAGTATCGGCAGAAAGGATAAAACCTTCAAAATTATGTCGAGGTAGGAGGAAATTGTTTTCCACGTTCCTGAGTTTTAGGGCCAGGAGCTCCATAAACCAGGTAATTATGAATAAAGTGCCTAATGTGAAGTGTTATGTTGCTAGGGTCCATTCCCTGGCTGATCGTGGCAGAGTTGTTCGCCCAGGGTCCGAGGTCAGCAGCTGTCAGCACAGCAGTCCTTGTCAACTGGATGGCCAACTGTGTCGTGGGTCTTGTCTTCCCTACGCTACAGGTAGGCTGGGGGTCTGGGTACAATATTTGATCTCTGACAAGTCCAATCTGATGTGTCAAATTTTTGGTTCTCTTGATTATACATTGTTGGTACTACAAGACGAAGGGAAGTACGTTGCCCAAAGTCAAACTTAAAATATCCATAAATATCAAAATACAGATGTGTTGTTTTTTTGTTTATAACTAAGCACTATTTTGCAAGTTTATCATGAACTGTGGTACACTTATATCAATCTTTTGGCTTTGCAAATGACTTTGCAAATCTGTTTGTGTCACACACTTTGTGTATGTGTGTGTGTCTGTGACTGTGTGTGCTTGTGTCTGTGCGTGCATGTCTGTGTGTGCATCTGTCTGTGTATGTCTCTGTGTGTGCATGTGTCTGTCTGTGTATGTATGTGTGTTTGTGCATGTGTGTGTCTGTCTGCATGTTTGTGTCTGTGCATGCATGTCTGTGTGTGCATCTGTCTGTATGTCTCTGTGTGTGCATGTGTCTGTCTGTGTATGTATGTGTGTTTGTGTATGTGTCTGCATGTGTGTCTGTCTGCATGTTTGTGTCTGTGTGTGCATGTTTGTGTGTGTCTCTGTGTCTGTCTGTGCATGTGTGTCTGTGTGTACATGTGTGTGTCTGTGTGTGTGGTGCCATTTCACTACAAATTCAACTTCTTTCTTGCAGAAGTCCATCGGTGTCTATTCGTTTGTACCGTTTGCCGCCATGCTGTTCCTGTCCTTTCTGTTCACAATGTTCAAAGTCCCAGAAACAAAGGGCAAGACTATTGAGGAGATCACACACCTGTTCAAGGCCAACATAGACAAACTTCATATCAAGAACGTGAATGTCCCGTCTCCAGATATGGAGACCTCAGGGTCAATACAGAAAGAAGGCTAATATGTCAGCATATATATTTGAGCCGTATGGAGTTTGTGTGAGTGAGTGAATGTTATTTAACACTGTAGGAAGAGCACAGCTATGTTATTCTTCCCAAAAGATTTAAAGACACCTGTTCTTTACTTAGTACAAGATGGTGTGTGACACAAGAAGGGAATATCTTGACGGTCTTGTGTTGTAACCACCTGACCCTTATTTGGTTGGCTTGTGTAATAATTCCTGAGTGCTTGGGACTTAATCTGATCTAGAATCCTTGTTTTTGAGACTGAATCGAATAATAGGAAAAAGAAAACAAGATATGGAAGAATTTTAACTTGAAGTGTAAGAAATCAAGCAAGGACCTCAGGACCTGATTAGTGATATGAGATGTTTTCCATGTGTCATTGGAACAGGGCAAATGTTTATTGTTAACCTCGATAAGGAACTGGCAGAATTAAGTTGTTTTCATGTTATTTGTTTGTTTGTTGTTTAACGCCGTACTCAGCAATATTCCAGCTATATGACGAGGGTCTGAAAATAATCGAGTCTGGACCAGACAGTCCAGTGATTGACATCATGAGCATCAATCCACGCAATTTGGATGCGATGACATGCATGAACCAAGTCAGCCAGCCTGACCACCTGATCCTGTTAGTCGCCTCTTACGACAAGCATGGGTTGCTGAAGACCTACTCTATCCCGGATCTTCACGGGTCTATTTTCATGTAGAAAAAGTCTTTGTCATGGACAAGTGAATGAGAAGGTTGGTTTTGTTTCAGAGTTGCAATGAGGTGCCAACCCCCGCCTGTGAATCCTGAATACCCTCTAAAGTTTCACTGTAAGTCTCATTTGCTTGCCCCTTAGTTCTGAATACTACTTAACACAAACCTCAAAAGCACAGAATTCCCCCACTAGGTCAAAAAAGACTTGAATTTATAGATTAAAACAATATTGAAAACATTAAAATATGTACAGGATTTTGGTCACATGTCGAACCTGCTTTCCAAATACCGTATTCGACGTAATAAGCGCCCAGGGCGCTCTCAAAATTAGAAATAGGGAGCTCTTATTAGGATATTATTTTGAGTTGAAAGATCGTAAATTTCGTGGTTTATGCTGACAGCCTGAAATGTTTATATACGACAGATATATTTTTCCAGGATTTAATTGCCCATAATTAAGGGTGCATATGACATACGAGTGCGTATTATACACAAATAAATAAGTCTTGTGTACATTAATCAATTGGAAGGGATGCTAACTGAGATTGTTCACTAGCCAATATATTAGCAAATATCGCCGTGGGCGCTTATTACGTCGAATACGGTACATATATAATTGGGTCCCACAAACCACACTGCAGAATCCAGAATGTCCCCTTTATGGACCCCTGAATCCTGCGCGTCAAAGGGGGTTGGCAGCCTCATTGGTGAGGTTCCCTGATATTCCTCATTCTGGGAATCAAACTAGAGGCATGTACATGAAAAGCAGCCCCACATACCACTGTGCCAGCATACTGACAAGCAGATGCTTTTGATAATGGCTTGGTTTCAGCCCAGGTTCTGTGTATGTTACTTGGTCATCTTGAAACAGATGGAATCTGGGGTGTTAAGCTTTGTAATCAAGAGATCCAGAACTGAAAGATTCATAACAAACAAAAGCTGGTTCATGACCATTGTTGCAACATGAAAGGAACAAGAATTTTTTATCATGTATTTGTCCTCATTAGTTCCAGATCTCCAAGTCTTGGAGTGAGATCTAAATTGTGAATTACTGAATATCAGTCTGGGACTCTTAATGCATTTAATCTGTCTGCTAAAAGTTTTTGTTTGTTTATATTTATATTGTTCAAAATACTCTGACAAGTAATGGCATATGTTCCAGAACGACATATCATGTACACAGCTTTGTCTTCTTTCTCTCTTGAGCATTTAGCATGATCAGATGATCAGATCACAGCCAATTTATTACATTTTTGTTTTCTGGTCTCATTGACTAGGGCTGGGACAAGTCCAAATTTACTTCCCGAGTACCCTACTCCCTATAACCCTACTTTCCCCTGGTACCTGCTGGAGGTCTCAACAGATGGGTACAAAATGTCTGGTTGGGAATAGTTTGACTGTAGCCCTGGCAAACTGTATTTGGATAAACATATTCAAAGATCACCGAGTAAAAAGCTTTGATTCAACCATTTTGACGCAAACAAACCAAATTACTTCCCTTTCGGATTAACGTCGGTTCATGTGAGCTCAACAATACTTTTGCAAGATAAGCTAGTTACCTTAGGTGTGTTCCAATTGATTTCTCAGCATGGTACATAAGCGGGCTACATGAAAAATAACCCTACTCCTTAACCAATTTAGAAGCTAGTATTTTAATGTATGGTGAGATAATATAAGTTGTAGCAGTATTAAGAGGGGTATATGTGGTTTTATACCACGAGCCAGAGTAAAAGTTTCAAACAAATTGAATGCTTATCAATTGAGATGAAATTAACTTGTACTGTGTCACGTGACCTTCATTTACTTTGTAGCTGGGTATAAGGGATTAATTGTCCCGCTAAGAAATTTATTTCCCTCCCAGGCAAGATTTATCAGGATCTCATGAACCAGTATGACATTGAGGTAAGATAATAAGAGTTGTGAGAAATCTTTAAGATGCAAAGAGCAAGACAGATGCACAAAAAGCAAGGAATGTTAGGGTACATGGTTTAATCATGTACTAGGAATTTTTTGTTCCCCTGACATAATACTCATGATATTTATCCTTCCATACTCATTGTGTGACACGATGATGGCAGTTCAGGTTCCTGTATTTGGTAGTTGGCATTTTTAGTGTTGTGATTAATAAACACATGCTTGTGATATGGTAGGAGTGGACTAAATACAATGGACACTGCTTTTAGCAGAGATTTCTTATGATTATGGAAAGGGTTCATTTATTGTATGTACATTTTGGTTTTTCTGTTTTTATTGTTTATTGCTGCGGTGAGTAATATTCGAGCTGTATGAGCTTGAATCAATGCCTTTGGGATATGATGACATGCATCAACCAAGTCATGGAGCCTGACCATCCAACTTTGATAAGCACTTTCTCCTATAAGCTGGAAGTGCCGCCATGTTTTTTACTCATGTCTACCGGTCACAATATTTTATTTATCAATAATGCTTACCATTACAATTTGGTAAGGAGATACATACGTAATTGGTTAAATGACTGGTTCAAATTCTTCTGTACTTTTACAGCTATACTGAACAACAAAAGTTCCTGTGACATTGAATAAGATTTAATGCAAAGTTATGTTTTTTGACCAAATCTGAAACAATTTCGGTTTGCAACAGATAAAAGACTCCTGAAAGTGTTCAAATGGTTTAATTTGCCATACTGACGTCAGAAAATGCGTGATTTCATAAAAAACATGAACATGCCAAAATGTCAATTTACAAATCAATAGTGTGTGTGTCCACCTCTGGTTGTGATGCAAGCAACACATCTTTGTCTCATGGAGCATCGGGCGGTCGGGTAGCCAAGTGGTTAAAGCGTTCGCTCGTCACGCCGAAGACCCGGGTTCGATTCCCGACATGGGTACAATGTGTGAAGCCCATTTCTGGTGTCCCCCACTGTGATATTTCTGGAATATTGCTAAAAGCGGCGTAAAACCAAACTCACTCACTCACTCATGGAGCATCCTTTGGGATATCTGTCCATATCTGCTGGAGCATGTTTTGAAGTTCCTGGAGCGTCTGTGGAACATGTGGTTGTCATATGAAGATCAAAGTCTTGAATTGATATTGCAAATAAAATAGTTTTGTATAACAAATGTTATATTTGGGATAACACTTTCTCAGTAAAGTACAGATTCTAGTACTGTTTTGGGTTGAGTCCTGTCCGGGATTCGAACCCACACTTGCCAGAGTGAGGCACCTAATTGATACCACACAAAGTCTTTACTTTACCAGAAAGAGTTATCCCAAATATAACATTTCTTACATTTGACCACTTTCTAAATGGCATTGTATTCAAAGCTATCGGCCATTACACTTGTCAGAGGGGTACTCAAAGTATGTGATCTAGACTACCAGTGGTTGGACTTTCATTTTTGTGGAAGCCGAGTGGGTTAGATCACTGACTTTGTGTGCAGGCCTCACTCTGGCAGGTGTGGGTTCGAATCCAGGACGTGACTCAACCCAAACAAGTACTAGAATCTGTACTTTACTAAGAAAGTGTTATCCAAAATATAACATTTGTTTTATTTATTAACATGTTTCACGGTACATGAATAACCGTGTAAATTGAATTTATGTGCATGTTGTAGTGTCATTTATTTATTTATTATAACAGTGGCATTATCAGAAGTGATGGTATTTTCATCCTCTCATCCACTCCACATAACAGGTACCCCCGGTATCTGTTCACCTCTTTGTTCCAGGTATTTGGATGTCTTGTTTTATGAATGAAATATACCGTATTTGACCTAATATGCGCTCAGGGTGCTCTTAAAATTAGAAACAGGGGGCTCTTGTTAGAATATAACTTTGTGAGATAAAAACAGTTGAAAGATTGTAAATTTTGTGGTTTATGCTGACAGCCTGAAATGATACAAAAGAAGAATCTGTGCGTAGTATACATGGTAGATATATTTTCGAGAATTTAATTGCCCATAATTAAGGGTGCTTATAACACACACATTCCAGTAAGTAGTGATAATGAGTAAGGGTTACACATTTGTAAATTTTACTTCATATATTCACTTGATCCATGGGATAGTGTTAATACCTGTCAAAACCACACAGGAGGTAAATCTGTTTTCAGAGATCAGTCAGTGGTAAGCACAGTTTATTCGGCTGTTATTTACTCTTCCGCAGTGTCTGTAACCAACACAAGAAAAGTCATGTGAATATTGGATCCTTGTAGGTCACTTTCTGATTGGTCTAGACGTTAAGGGGGCTCTTATTGGTGCGGGGGCACGGGTGGCCCAGTCATCTAAGGCGCTGTTATTCGCTGTACAGTGTTGCGTGATTTCGGGTTCGAATCCCGGTTTGCCCCGATTATGTTTCTAGGTTTGTCAGCACCATTATTGTGCTCGTGGGTTTCACCGAAGTGGAAAACATCTGAGACCTGCATCACTTCGGGCTTTCCTCCCACATTAACCTGACACACCGTGACATAACTGGAATACTGTTAAAAACGGCGTTAAACACAACTCACTCACTCACCTTATTGGCGCAATGGGCTTAATATGGTGGTAAAATGAACCAGGGCTCAATAAATAAACATGATTAAGCTTTCACCTGGTGCATGTGGACATGAGAAGCTAGTTGTACCAGACAATACCAGGTTGCACCCTGGTCCCCAAAAACTCTCAGATCTCTGATGACTGTGTCATGAATTACATATATCACAGGTTTTTATAGTGAAGTAGTATGGTTTGTTCAAAGATTGTCGTCGTGTGGATAAGTAATGTGTCAGACAAAAATGTGATATATTTTTTTTCATAAATATTGGGTTGCATTTTTCAATAATGGGTTGCACTGGTGCATGTTTTATGTAGTTAAATCGACCCCAGTGAAAGGATTTGAAATTACAATTATCCTTTGAAAAAGTATGGATGCCGTTTTATTTTCTGTAACTTGCCATGTCAAACCATTTGTTGATCTATGTCTATCTAACTATGTATATCCAGGTCTATCTAACCTGGGACTCAATATATTTATCTCCCTGGTCTAACCATGTCAAAATCTGATGCTTTCTCTGAATGCCTTCTTGCCTTTGTCTGAAAAACACTTACAATACACGTTTCTTATGGAATATAATCACACATGTATTAATGAAAGAAAATTGTCATGTGAAGATCAAAGTCTTGTATTGATATTGCAAATAAAATATTTTTCTATAACACCTGTGTAATTTTGTTTTAACTCACCTCACTGAAAGTAAAGTGCGCTTATGTGGGGGCGTTGTCCAGTTGCAGACCTGCCAACTCTCAGACCATTCGTTCTAACATCAAGCTCTCCAATGAAAATAAGTTTGGATTTGGCTGGAGATTTCGACTGTCAGATACCAGAACTATTCACGAGTTTCATAAAATTGGTATTACACGGGAGCTCGTTTAGTATTCTATATGTATATGACACGTGAACACAGTTCATATCTTAATCAGCTGAGATGTTCTATCATTTTCTTCTCACAGTTTACATGAAGCCGAATTCAGTCCTACCATTAAAATAATCCGGATTAAAAGCTAAAATCACACGCGCTAATCACATTGTTCTCTTAATCCCCAGTTAACAACCCAACTGCAACTATTCGCGTTTTGCCGACCTTAATTTTGACCCCAAATGTCTAAAGGTCGGCGTAACGCGAAGAGTGAGTGAGTGAGTATGGTTTTACGCCGCTCTTAGCAATATTCCAGCAATATCACGGCGGGGAACACCAGAAATGGGCTTCACACATTGTACCCATGTCGGGAATCGAACCCGGGTCTTCGGCGTGACGAGCTAACGCTTTAACCACTAGGCTACCCGACCGCCCCCGTAACGCGAAGACACCGTGAAGGACCACAGTTACCTTGAGGCCAAAAGGAGGCAATCGTGTTTAAACAGCAGTAAACTCCATTGTCTCAGCTCCGCACAATGTCTCGCTAAAAGTTCACACACGGTGTGTTCCCCCACACGATAAACGCGTACAACAAATCAAGAGTGAACGCACTTGTCCAAGAGGGACATGTAACTGTTTAACATGTCTTAGAGTTACTTCCCTTTGACCATCCACCACTGATACGAGTGCGTGAAAGTCAAGTGGTCTCCATTTGACCTTAACCCGAACAAGCTCCTTCCCTGCGTGTGACAGCTTCTTCACTGTTCTGATAGCATCGCTGTTAACAGTGCTAACCCAACCCTCGTTTCACCCTTTTACATTAAAATGACTCGCATCCGGTGTGTGGGTGGGTGTGGGTGCGCTTGTACTAATATTAGCCCGGTTTATGTTGGAGTTGGTTGCCAATCACATTCGAGATCTCGTGAAATTGGGTTTGAGGAAATGCCTCCATTTTCACCTCACTCTTCCTTTGGTCGAGTCTTAACGTAATGTTTTGACCACAAGGGCCGGGTCAGCTACATGTACAGACAACTGTCCCCTGAAGATCCATCTTAGAATTGGTCTTCCGGAACCCATCATAAGAGGCGACTAACGGGACCGAGTGATCAGGTTCGCTGACTTGGTTGATGCATGTCATCGTATCCCAGTTGCGTAGATCGAATGTTCATGATGTCAATCACTTGATTATCTGCTCCATTTACAGACCACGGTCATATAGCAATGCCTGCTGTATATGCCTCATATAGCAGGCATATTGCAGTGCAGTGTTAATTTATTTTTTTTAAATCTAATTATATCTTTATCTCTCGTACCAGTAACTTGGCACAGCCTTTCCATCAGTCTTAAGGATTATTAAATTATTTTTAGCGTCCTGTCATTCGAATCAGACTAAAGGTTTTGGCAGCGATTTGGTAATAGTTTTCATAATAGAATGGAGATGATACACTGATGAGTCGAATATGAGTATCTCTGACAACAATGTTTCCACAACACCACATACCGCACATGTTGGTGTTTGGAGCTCACTGTTATCTGCATAATCTGCTTTGTCCTCCCTTGTACTCATTTACAGCTGTTGAATGTGACTGTAAAACTTACCCTGGCCGAAGCAACAGGAGCTGCAAGGTTACAACCTGATTCGAACTCGGGTCTTTTGTATGGGTGAGTGAGTGAGTGAGTTGGGTTTAACGCCGCTTTTAACAGTATTCCAGTTATATCACGGCGTGTCAGCTTGATGTGGGAGAAAAGCCCGAAGTGATGCAGGTCTCAGACGTTTACGACTTCGGAGAACCCACAAGCACGGTTATGGTGCTGACAAACCTAGAAACATAATCGGGGCGAACCGGGATTCGAATCCACAATCATAGGTTTCTGACCTGCCCAAGGGACGCAACTCTGCACAGCGAATCGCGGCGCCTTAGACGACTGGGCCATCCGTGCTCCCTCTTTTGTATGGAAGGCATATACTCACATGATCAACCTTCTATGTCCATGATAGTCATATACAAGTGACAATGAATGGTTTGACGTGTTGTCTTTATTATTGGTATCTAGAGGTCTGCTTTTGACACATTTGAAAGAGGCTTCTGCCTGTGTGTAAACAATTATGTTAATTGTGTTTACAGACTGTAGCCGTGGCTATTTTTTGTGTATTTGTTGGCATTTATGCTTCCGTTATGTTTCATCCATGGCCGCCTCCCCTTGCTACAGGTCCCCGTGTCACCACACCCACATCATCCGTCTCCTCCTCACCCAGAAGATGCGCCGTCGTCTGCGGCGTCCTGTGGAGTACGCAAACATCGTCAACACCACCATAGAACAGACATGGAAGTAATTCTCGTCAAAGCAAAAAAACATGCATAGAGATATTGCAATTATTATTCAACCGACATTGTAATATGGAACAAGAGTGGGGGCAACATGACGAACTGTCTGAACAGGGGCGGTACTCCCAGGACGACCACGCCCCCACCATCATGAACCCATGGTGAAAGGATGAGGCACAATGGGCCCTTTTTGACCCAATGGAGTTTTCGATTCATCACGGACCTATGTAAAGTTACGAAATGCTTTATTTTTGATTGAAACTAGCTTGAAATAAGCCTAACGATTCCCAATATCGATACAATGCGTGAAGCCCATTTCTTCTGTCCCCCGCTGTGATATTGCTGGGATATTGTTAAAAGCGGCGTAAAACCAGAATCACTCACTGTAATTAACCTATGACAAGACATAGAAGTATTGCTAAAACGAGTGATAAAAACCTACGTTTCGAACAAAACGAAAATCGAGCATGTCTGAGACCAGCATGGTTTTACTCCATGTTTGTGCTGTCTTTACCTATGTACCCGAAAAATAGACCCATGTACATATATTAGAGAAAAGCTACCCGAAAGCTTCTAAAAGTCCGGTTATTTTTACACGTCTTTGTGTGACATCAACATTCAGTCTTGTTGAGAGTTCTTATTCCTGTGAATACATTTGATACCTTCACAACGATTGTAAACATTTTGTGCTCTTTTTAACATTGTACAAAGTCTTTGGTCCAAATAGATCATCACCATACCTGGACCTGAACGTTTTCATTACGTTTTTCTTATTTGAGTGAGTGAGTGAGTTGGGTTTAACGCCGCTTTTAACAGTATTCCAGTTATATCACGGCGTGTCAGCTAAATGTGGGAGGAAAGCCCGAAGTGATGCAGGTCTCAGACGTTTACCACTTCGGTGAAACCTACGAACACGGGTATGGTGCTGACAAACCTAGAAACATAATCGGGGCGAACCGGGATTCGAACCCACAATCATAGGTTTCTGGCGATCCCCGGCCGCTTCATACCAAAAGACGTTAAAAGATTTTACTTGTTGTTACCCTGCCTGGCGCTTGGCATTGTTGGGCCAAAACAAGTACTGGTCGGCTCGGAGTATACTGTGTGTGAGAGAGGTATTCATGTTCAACTGGCATCTTAGTGAGCTAGCACTATAAAATCGGCATCAGTCTGGACTAGTACAAGCACGCACGCACGCACGCACGCACGCACACACACACAGCCAGAATTGTTCCCTAGCAACCAATGCTGGCCATAAGAGTGAGTGAGTGAGTATGGTTTTACGCCGCTTTTAGCAATATTCCAGCAATATCACGGCGGGGGACACCATTGTACCCATGTCGGGAATCGAACCCTGGTCTTCGGCGTGACGAGCGAACGCTTTAACCACTAGGCTACCCGACCGCCCCACTGGCCATAAGAGACCAATAGATAGGATAGGTTGCTCAGGCCCATGACATCTTAGCTGTACAACGCAAACTATCTACAACATTCACTTAACCCTCCAGCAGGCAAACCCCATGTCCCGATATGTCGGACAACATATCAATCCAAATTACTGTCCAAACTATTTCAAAATTAATTAATGACAAGTGTGACATCTAGTTATAATTTGTACTCACTCATCATGGACGACATAACCATAAACCACGCCAGTGTCATCATCTTGCCTGTACGACTTCACGGAGGCGACGCTGCTGTCCGGCACCACACACAAGGAAGCAGCCTTGTCCCGAGTGTAGCTGTTCGTCCAGTGCATGTTTATATACCACCGTGGCTGATGCTGTTTCTGTCAAGTCATACACTCTCTATTGTTTGTATTGCGTATGCATTATCTATACTCCATTGATGTAAATATGTCATGAAATTATTTTTTTTTAAATTTTAAATTCAAACACGGTTAACTGTTCTTTATGACATCAGTTATGTAAATAATTTTTATATGTGATTCAGTTGTGGGTGAATTGGTTTAAATCCACTTTGAACCATATTTCATTTGTTATCACTGCATATATAAAATATGACAGTTTGAGGTGAGGTGAAATGAGGTTTAACGTCGCGTCTAATATTATTGCACTTATATAGCGACGTGCATGCACGTGTGTGTTTGTGTGGCTGCTTGTACCAGTCCGGACTGATGCCGATTTATAGTGCTAGCTCACTGAGATACCATGCCGCAGTTTAACATGAATACCCCACTCAGACACAGTATACTGACTCCGAGCCGACCAGTCCTTGTTTTAGCCACTTAACGTCTTTTGGTATGACGCGGCCCGGGATCGAACCCCGGACCTTCCGCTCTCCGGGCGGACGCTCTACCACTAGACCACGGAGGCGGTCCAAATATCAACAAACCATTACCTTTTAGTGCATATATATATAATATGACAGTTTGATGTGAGGGGAAACCAAAGCAGTGCAAAGTCTTAGACGTTTGATGAAACCCACGAGCACCAGTAAGGGGATTCCGAAAATCAAAACGACCCGATGGTAATATTTAATATTTACTGAATCGATCTTTGTTCTTACTTTATCCATAGCTAGTGCACAGCCTGTGGCATAGTCGACCAACGTCGTCAACGTCTGATTCAACACCAGGTGAGCCAGGGGTGCAACGGGGTAGGTAACCCCCAACAAGTATGGTAATGTTGCTGTCGTAGGCTTTGTGTCGGACATACACCCAACTTCCAAACCGTAGTATTTCTGACAATAACTATGTTTAATTCTTCGCAAAATTATTTCAAAAGCAAGGACAGCCCTTTATCAAGACTAACATCACACCAGACAAACGGATCATGCATACATGGAATAGCCATGTAATGGGGTTCTTCATATTGGGCACGGGCGGCCCAGTCGTCTAAGGCACCGCAATTCGCTGTGCAGAGCGGGGTTCCCTGGTCACGAATAAGTTGATCATATTGATGGTTTGGTTTGGTTTGGTTTGTTGTTTTACGCCGCACTCAGCAATATTCCAGCAATATCACGGCGGCGGACACCAGAAATGGGCTTCACACATTGTACCCATATGGGGAATCGAAGCCGGGACTTCGGCGTGACGGGTGAACGCTTTAACCACTAGGCTACCCAACCGCCCCTTAACAGTAACAGTTTGACTAACAGATTGATATTATAATGATAGGACGGTGTGAAATGTACGATATAAGCTTGACTAACAGATTGATATTATAATGATAGGACGGTGTGAAATGTACAATATAAGCTTGACTAACAGATTGATATTATAATGATGGGACGGTGTGAAATGTACGATATAAGCTTGACTAACAGATTGATATTATAATGATGGGACGGTGTGAAATGTACGATATAAGCTTGACTAATATGATTGATATTATAATGATGGGACGGTGTGAAATGTACGATATAAGCTTGACTAACATGATTGATATTATAATGATGGGACGGTGTGAAATGTACGGTATAAGCTTGACTAATATGATTGATGTTATAATGATGGGACGATGTGAAATGTACGATATAAGCTTGACTAATATGATTGATATTATAATGATGGGACGGTGTGAAATGTACAGCTTGACTAATATGATTGATATTATAATGATGGGACGGTGTGAAATGTACGGTTTAAGCTTGACTGATATGATTGATATTATAATGATGGGACGGTGTGAAATGTACGGTATAAGCTTGACTAATATGATTGATATTATAATGATGGGACGGTGTGAAATGTACGGTATAACCTTGTCTAATATGGTTGATATTATAATGATGGGACGGTGTGAAATGTATGGTATAACCTTGTCTAATATGATTGATATTATAATGATGGGACGGTGTGAAATGTACGGTATAACCTTGTCTAATATGGTTGATATTATAATGATGGGACGGTGTGAAATGTATGGTATAACCTTGTCTAATATGATTGATATTAAAATGATGGGACGGTGTGAAATGTACGGTATAAACTTGACTGATATGATTGATACCGTAATGAGAGGGCGGTCAGAACTGTGTGTCACATACGGAGAGAACCGAGCACCAACACGTCATCCTGGGCGTCCAGGAAATGTTAGGTCTTGTGAAAGCATCTACATATAACGATGACACAATTAACTGTGTGATGTTACATCTTATGACCACTCGCTTTACTATAAAACGTACAAGTATATTTACAGTGTAGCGACAGAGTGCACATCACATTCGGACGGACAATCAACATTACGGGGAATTTTCAAGATAAATGTGGAGGAATTCTCCGGAGTGGTATTCTTCAAAATTTCAAATCTTAACCCCGTAGCTTTCCTGCTTCCTGTATTGGATACACTTATCCGTTTTTTGTCAGAAACAAATTTACAAAACCATGGGTGGTGTTGACTGAGCGAGAAATAAATTCCAGCACTTTTCCCAGAAGACCGTACCTTTCCAAACAGATACGCAAGTGGTCGTGTGACTATATTTCCTCGACAGTACACGGGTGATCCGTTCTACAAGCAGTTCAACACAGTTGAATTCACACTCCATTGTATCCACAAAAGAAACTTTGTTGTTTTGGGGAAAAGGACATTGCAGTGCGAGAGCAGTATGTCTACCGTCTAAATGATTTCAGTTCAATGTATTAAGATTCAGTCTACACTTCTCAAGAGACTGAAATGGAAGAATAAAATCAATTAAATTACATCTGGGAGAAATAGTTTGAGATTATTCTAAAATAAACTACCGGCCCCGTTACACAGGGGTGTGGGTGTGTGTGGGGTGTGTGGGGGTGTGTGTGGTCTATTGATTAAAGTGTTCATTCATCACACCGAAGACCCAGGCTCCATTCTCCACATGGATACAATGTGTGAAGCCAATTTCTCGACATAAAACTATGTTCATTCATTCTTTAATTCCCTATTATATACCTCTAAGGTAAGTACTGTGATCTAGACTTGGTGTTACATACGCTGTAATATGTAATTTAGATACGGCAGTATAATTGTTGACCCCATGTGTTCCAGTAGAGGTGGTGAGGTGAGGTGAGGTGAGGTGAAATGGGGTTTAACGTCGCGTCCAAGATAATTGCACTTATAAAGCGACGTGCATGCACGTGTATGTGTGTGTGTGGTTGCTTGTACTAGTCCGGACTGATGCCGATTTATAGTGCTAGCACACTGAGATACCATGCCGCAGTTTAACATGAATACCCCACTCAGACACAGTATACTGACTCCGAGCCTACCAGTCCTTGTTGTTACCCTGTCTGGCGCTCGGCATTAAGTGGCTAAAAGAAGTACCATCTTTTAACGTCTTTTGGTATGACGCGGCCCGGGATCGAACCCCGGACCTTCCGCTCTCCGGGCGGACGCTCTACCACTAGACCACGGAGGCGGTCTCCGGTAGAGGTCTTGCGTGGATTTCTTCCATCGGAACCCAGCTTCTCAGATGCACGCAATTTCCTCACAGTCTTGCGACACAAGTGCAACTGTAGTGCTTTTGTTTCCAGCCTGTTAACAATAATCATTAGTCAATACAAAATCTATGTAATTCTGAAAATGTTGATAACTAAGGGAGTGTACTTGCACAGTATCCCTATCAGGAGTTGAGTGGCACTGTTCAGACTCCTGCTCCTGAGTGAACATAGGACTTATGTTGTCATCGTTTTGGGAGAGACGTGAAGCCTGTATGCAACAAATATGAACTTCTTCCCATTCCGTGTCTCGAAACAAACACCCGCTGTTTAAACTGTGCAATACCTGTTGTGATATTGTGGAAATGTTCTGAATCTAGCAAGCATGCTCGCTCCCATGTTTTCTTTTGTTATATTATCACTTGAACTCAAGTTTTATGACCAAATTGCTTCATATTCGTTCGTCAACATCTCCAAACGCCGAGTGTTTAACGCCGCACTCAGCAATATTCCAACTATATGACGGCGGCCTGTAACAAATCGAGTCTGGACCAGACAATCCAGTGATTGACATCATGAGCATCGATCCACGCAATTGGGATCGATGACATGCATCAACCAAGTCAGCGAGCCTGACCACCCGATCCCGCTAGTCTAACGACAAGCATAGTCGCCTTTTAGGGCAAGCATGGGTTGCTGACGACCTATTCTACCCCCGATCTTCACGGGTCCCAGTCAGATGTATCCCACCAGGCTATATCATTATCCATATATCCCTGTCAGTTGTTTAGGATATGTTTATTGATGATTAACCCCATGGTACAAAGTTGTGAAGATCCTAACGAAGCACACGTGTAAGACTGATTTCACATGTTGAATTGCGCAGTGGATCTCATGATTTGTAGAGTAGGTCAACAACGAACGAAACAATTAACTTCATTTTTTATACCCATAAAGTTGCCAAGAAACTACGATTGATAACCTGTGGAAATTAATTCCCAACGGACTAAATGTGATTCTCTCATGTGTAAGAAAAGGAGTAATGTGATACTAGTGGAATAATGGGAACTTAACATCCTGTACTATGGCACTAATTATATAACCAAAACAGTCTATCAACTAAACACCTAGAGACCGGTCCAAGAGTGAGTGAGTGAGTTTTGGTTTTACGCCGCTTTTAGCAGTATTCCAGCAATATCACGGCGGGGGACACCAGGAATGGGCTTCTCACATTGTAACCATGTCGGGAATCGAACCCGGGTTTTCGGCGTGACGAGCGAACGCTTTAACCACTAGGATACCCGACCGCCCCCGGATCCAAAAGTCTGATGCAAATCCCAATTTTGACCTACACCATGTTACCGTGCTTTTTGTTAAGTGATAATTGACCAGCTTTGCATGTATTTGTGACGGGTGCCACCGGTGGGCAGGATACGCTAACCTTTTCGCGAACGCCTGGCATCATCACCATTTGATCGTGATTCATAAACACATTCTAGTCGTACAATGGCCTGCGCTTTTGACAGATTTCCTAGGAATATGGAAAGGGTTTGTCGTTTTTATTTATTTGAAAAGGGGAAGGGTGGTTGGGGTGGGGGTGGTGGTGGGGGGGATTCCCCTGTCAAGAAGTAGAAGTTATGCTGACACTGCTACCCTTTGCGAAACGTTTTTAACACGTGAAACCTATTTCTATTCCTCATCTGATTACGCATCATAGATGATAAAAGTATTATCACCTCCGTGTGCGCATCCCACCGCTAATACGAAACTCGTGATAGTTCTCGTTTGGTTGAATCAGTAGCGCGCCCATATTCGTGTGATAATCTCAAGTCTCTGGTGACGGCTGCTAAAACACAATGTTGGTACAAAAAAGGTTGTGTTTCAGTATATAGCTGTTTCATGTTTACATTGAAAGATAATAGGACGTGCCTCTAGATAAAATATTGACACCATTGATTGTAGCTACAAAACCGAGCATGCTGGGAAGGGCCTCATCACCTGCTGACAAATCCTTCCGCCGACCTGTGTGAGTTGACCGCGTAGGCGGATCTAAAACATATAACTGATCCTATTCCTTGTTAAATCCTATAGTTCTGTTATTGAAATGAAGACAATAAAGGATTTCGCGTGCTGTGATGCGGTGACAATGATGGTACAAAGATAATGCCCTTCAAAGTAATTTAAACCCGTTACCAATCTTTTGAACGTTGTTTCCTTTACCTCAGTCGTTAAAATTAGTATAAATATAAAGATGCTTTCTACGATCAAACCAACATTTGGGATCACGATCACTACACAGTCACTTGACCTGTCAACACATCGCTTCTTTCTCTGTGATATCAGCAGAACAACACAAACATCATGAAGTCTACACTAATGATATTGGCGGTGATCTGTTTCGGTAAGTCAACGCATTTCAAAGCAAATAGAAATGTTTTCAAATATAAAGCTAAAGTGTATTTGGAACGGAATTGTGAACAATTCTATTGCAATCGTGTTTTTATCTAAATATTCGTGATGAAATACATCATTTAGAAGACAAGCAAATCCCACATAGGTTAAGATGGTATTTTGTTTTTGTTTTGTTGTTGTTGTTGTTGTTGTTGTTGTTTAACGCCACACTCAGCAATAGCCCAGCTATATGATGTGGATCGGGTCCCTGTAAATGACCGAGTCTGCTATGATGAATACATGTATTTCAATTGTGATTCATAAACACATGGTCATGATATAGTCGGAATAGTACAATCGAGATAATTCTTATGCAGATGAAAAGGTGTGTGTCGCTTTTAAATTATCATAATACAAACACAAACAGTTTCGTTGTAAATGCTGTAAGATATGCTGTGTGGAACATAGTGGAATAATTGTTTTTAACCGAACGGAATTTAGTAACGATTAACAATGTTAATCGTTACAAGAACACATTATTTGTCTAATAATTATGTTTCTTTCTAGTCGCCCTAACATTTAATGGTGTTGAGAGCTGTTGTCATCACCGCCATAGTCATCACCGTCACAGCAGCAGCAGCAGTGGCAGCGGCTCCAGCAAGTTCAAGAGTTTCTTTCCCTCAAGTTTCTCCAAATCCGGACTAAGTTCCTTTGGTGGTTTCGGATCCTTCGGATCTTTTGGAAAGAAGTAAAAGGTAAGACGACATGTTTCTGTCGCACATTTCAATTGCCAGGTGTCAAGTGTCCTCAGTGTAAACATTATCTAATATCACAGAGGGAGACACCAGCTTTTTTATCTTTTACTTACAATGGAATGAATCGGTTTCTTTGGATAATCCAGATTTATATTTACCAACCACCCTTAAAGATTTGTTAAATTGTCATGCATACATATTTCATGCCGTCATCGGACTTCGATCTGAATAAATATATGCTTGACCTCTTTTTCATTTTTGATCTTATATTGTGTTTCAGACTGTAGGTACACGCGAGAAGCTGTAGAATGGACAACGAATATGTCAGTGAAATAATTAATGTGCAATAAATAATGTTGATGCAATGCAAACGTTTTAGTTTCACAATGCATGAGTGATACAACACTATATGTGGGCTTTACCGATTGTGGATTTATGGGGAATTGAACTTCGGCGTGACGAGCAAACGCTTTAACCACTAGACTAACCTACCGCCCGAAGCATAGACTAAGCATTCCTGTGAGTACGAATGTTTCTGAACACCACGGGCAGCAATACTACACCAATATCACGGAAGTATGTGTAAAGTAGAGTGTGGACCCTGCCTACCAGTGATTGATAGAATGGTTTGGTTTGTTTGTTGTTTAACGCCGCACTTTTCCCAATTGCGTGGATCGAAATGTGGGACAACCGTACAAACAATAATGAGTGAGTGAGTGAGTGAGTATGGTTTTACGCCGCTTTTAGCAATATTCCAGCAATATCACGGCGGGGGACACCAGAAATGGGCTTCACACATTGTACCCATCTCGGGAATCGAACCCGGGTCTTCGGCGTGACGAGCGAACGCTTTGACCACTGGCCTCCCCGACCGCCCAAACAATAATGAGCATCGATCCAGGCAATTGGGACCGATGACATGCATCAACCAAGTCAGCGAGCCTGACCACACGATCCCGTTAGTCGCCTTTCACGACAAGCATAGTCACCTTTTACGCCAAGCATGGGTTACTGAAGATCTGTTCTGCCCCGGATCTTCACGGGTCGATTGATAGAATTGCAGAACGATCGAAAACATGAGTTCGAAATCATGTAACACCTGATCCTCAAAAGAATGGTACCTATCCTGCTCTCGCCTCCAAATGGGAATACAGTAAACTACGTTTATACCAAACACGATTATAACAACAATTACCGTGTGGTTATCGGTTCAAGCAGGTGATAGAAGTATCTCCGAGTTTCCTGCAGAACAGGTTCATATATCGATATGCACGTCCATAATACGTACACGCTGTAAGGGGTAATTAGATAGACCTTATGCCTAAATAGAATTCATAATTTGTTGAAGCTGAGATAAATCTGATTCATTTTTATGTTCATTTCATGTCACACCTGAAGTATGTGTAAATTCGTTCAGTGAAATACTGGACTGTTTTTAAAGGTCTTGTAAAACAGATGCACGTGGCCACAAAAACAGATTTCGCGTAACAGGATTAACTCATCTGAAGTCATATGTTTCGTCACGATGAAGCTGCAACTCTTGAGATGGCATCTTGTCACCATCATCCTAGTCACGGTCACCGCGGACATGGTCACCATAGGCACGGTCACCATGGCAGCTCCTTTTGGTCTTTTGGTTCTTCCAGCTGTGTGAGTGAGTGAGTTGGGTTTAACGCCTCTTATAACAGTATTCCAGCTATATCACGGCGTGTCAGCTTAATGTGGTTTAACGCCTCTCATAACAGTATTCCAGCTATATCACGGCGTGTCAGCTTAATGTGGGAGGAAAGCCCGAAGTGATGTAGGTTTCAGACGTTTACGACTTCGGTGAAACCCACGAGCACGGGTATGATGCTGACAAACCTAGAAACATAATTGGGGCGTACCGAGATTCGAATCCACAATCATTGGTTGATGGCGTTCCCAAGGGAGGCAACTCCGTACAGCGGGAATCGCGGCGCCTTAGACGACTGGGCCACCCGTGCCCCCTCTTCCAGCTGTGGGTGGTGTAGTTCCTGCAAGAATTCCACTTTCTCCAGTGAAGTCCCAGCCGATGTTCGCCCCGGTCACCATGTCTGGACAGAGCTCTGGACCGGATCAGGAAGTAGTCTGGCACTTCTAGCGGGGCTCACCGGCTGAGATACACTCTTCAGAAAAAGAAACGCACAGGTAGATTTTTAGTAAATGGAATATTTAATTAATTATCATAGATACAAATATGAAATTTTGGAGCTCGATAGTCATGTTGTCGTTGTACAAAGGCATTGGAAACTGTTCATTGTCATGTCACATCATGCCACAAGGTTGCGCTGAACTCCGTATCTCGTGTGACTGGCCCGGGCAGCAATCACGGCTCTGTACCCATGTACACATTGTACCCATGTCGGGAATCGAACCCAGGTCTTCGGCGTGACGAGCGAACGCTTTAACCACTAGGCTACCCGACCGCCCCAATATGATTTAGAACATCATTTCGTTTTTGTTCATGTCCTAATAAAATTGTCAATTTTGAAAATTCTAGTTCTATTCCAGATTTTGCAAGGTTGTTGAGGAACATGTTTTACAATTCATACTCAAAGAACATGTTCATTAAGGTTTGTTTTTCTTGTTTACAAAAAAATACAAAGAAAAGATTATTTATATCCCATTTTGTACAGTATCTCGTTTGTTGGTTTAATGATATTGTTTTATTGCTTGGACAAGACCAGGATATTCTAGAAAATGTGGTCCCCAGTCAAGAAGTAGAAGTTATGCTGACACTGCTACCCTTTGCGAAACGTTTTTAACACGTGAAACCTATTTCTATTCCTCATCTGATTACTCTTTATAGATGATAAAAGTATTATCACCTCCATGTGCGCACCCCACCGAAAATACGAAACTCGTGATAGTTCTCGTTTGGTTGATAGGGCGCCCATATTCGTGTGATAATCTCAAGTCTCTGCTTGCGGTTGCTAAAACAAAATGTTGGTACAAAAAAGGTTGTGTTTCAGTATATATAGTTGTTAAATGTTTACATTGAAAGGTAATAGGACGTGATTCTAGATAAAATATTGACACCATTGATTGTAGCTACAAAACCGAGCATGCTGGGAAGGGCCTCATCACCTGCTGACAAATCCTTCCGCCGACCTGTTGGAGTTGACCGCGTAGGCGGACCTTAAACATATAACTGATCCTATTCCTTGTTAATTCCTATAGTTCTGTTTTTGAAATGAAGACAATAAAGGATTTCGCGTGCTGTGATGCGGTGACAATGATGGTACAAAGATAATGCCCTTCAAAGTAATTTAAACCCGTTACCAATCTTTTGAACGTTGTTTCCTTTATCCCAGTCGTTAAAATTAGTATAAATATACAGATGCTTTCTACGATCAAACCAACATTTGGGATCACGATCACTACACAGTCACTTGACCTGTCAACACATCGCTTCTTTCTCTGTGATATCAGCAGAACAACACAAACATCATGAAGTCTACACTAATGATATTGGCGGTGATCTGTTTTGGTAGGTCAACGCATTTCAAAGCAAATGGAAATGTTTTCAAATATTAGGCTAAAATGTATTTGGAACGGAATTGTGAACACTTCTATTGCAATCGTGTTTTTATCTAAATATTCGTGATGAAATACATCATTTAGAAGACAAACAAATCCCACATAGGTTAAGATGGTATTTTGTTTTTGTTTTGTTGTTGTTGTTGTTGTTGTTTAACGCCACACTCAGCAATAGCCCAGCTATATGATGTGGAACGGGTCCCTGTAAATTACCGAGTCTGCTATGATGAATACATGTATTTCAATTGTGATTCATAAACACATGGTCATGATATAGTCGGAATCGTACAATCGAGATATTTCTTATGCACATAGAAAGGTGTGTGTCGCGTTTATATTATCATAATACAAACACAAACAGTTTCGTTGTAAATGCTGTAAGATATGCTGTGTGGAACATAATGGAATAATTGTTTTTAACCGAACGGAATTTAGTAACTATTAACAATGTTAATCGTTACAAGAACACATTATTTGTCTAATAATTATGGGGTTTTTTCTAGTCGCCCTAACATTTAATGGTGTTGAGAGCTGTTGTCATCACCGCCATAGTCATCACCGTCACAGCAGCAGCAGCAGTGGCAGCGGCTCCAGCAAGTTCAAGAGTTTCTTTCCCTCAAGTTTCTCCAAATCCGGACTAAGTTCCTTTGGTGGTTTCGGATCCTTCGGATCTTTTGGAAAGAAGTAAAAGGTAAGATGTACATGTTTCTGTCGCACATTTCAGTTGTCAGATTTTAAGTGTCCTCAGTGTAAACAATATCTAATATCACAGAGGGAGACACCAGGCCCCCGTTCCACAAAGCGATCTTAGCGCTAAGTCGATCATAACTCCCATTCTTTAACACTGCCTTACGACAGTCGTTGCGCTAAGATCGCTTTGTGGAACGGGCCCCAGCTTTTTTTTTTCTTTTACCCACAATGGAATGAATTTGTTTCGTTGGATAATCCAGATAGGCTATTTTATGTCGTTGACGATTTATATTTTACCAACCACCCTTAAAGATTTGTTAAATTGTCATGCATAAATATTTCACGCCGTCATCAGACTGCGATCTGAATAAATATATGCTTGACCTCTTTGTCAATGTTGATCTTCTTTTATGTTGCAGACTGTAGGGTACACGCGAGAAGCTGTAGAATGGACAACGAGTATGTCAGTGAAATAATCAATGTGCAATAAATAATATTGATACAATGCGAACGTTTTAGTTTCTCAATGCATGAGTGATACAGCACCATATGTGAGCTTTACCGATTGTGGATGTATGGGGAATTGAACTTCGGCGTGGCGAGCAAACGCTTTAACCACTAGACTAACCTACCGCCAAAAGCATTGACTAAGCATGCCTGTGAGTACGAATGTTTCTGAACACCACGGGCAGCAATACTACACCAATATCACGGAAGTGTGTGTAAAGTAGAGTGAGGACCCTGCCTACCAGTGATTGATAGAATGGTTTGGTTTGTTTGTTGTTTAACGCCGCACTCAGCAATATTGCAGCTATATGACGGCGGTCTGCAAATAATCGAGTCTGGACCAGACAATCCAGTGATTGACATCATGAGCATCGATCCACGCAATTGGGATACGATGACATGTATCAACCAAGTCAGCGAGCCTGACCACCCGATCCCGTTAGTCGCCTTTTACGACAAGCATAGTCGCCTTTTACGGCAAGCATGGGTTGCTGAAGATCTATTCTCCCCCGGATCTTCACAGGTCGAAATCATGTCACGCATATCATGTCAAACCTGATCCTCAATAGAATGGTACCTATCCTGCTCTCGCCTCCAAATGGG